ATGATAAATGATTATCGTGTCAAATATATCGGGAGTTAAAAACGCAAAATCGACAATAAAAAACTTTCGGATTTATAAAACATTTATACACTAAAAATTGTTTGAGCCAATAAGTATTGGTAAAATTAAGTAAAATATTATTTTACTTCACATTGCTATATATTTAAATAAACCCAAATAACTTAATCTAAAAACTTAAATACTTTAGAGCACTCAAAACCTTCAGTGGGTGTTTTAAACAATAGTTTGTAACTGTTTTCAAAACTACATATTAATATTTTCATATTAATATACTTACAATGAATATAAATCCAAAAATCATTATAAACAATACAATTATAAGAATAAACAAAGTGAGGTTATTGCAACAACATTCAAATGTAAAAATCAAGGTTGTGAAACAATCAAATTGAATTTAATTAATCGTATGTTACTCGTATGAGTCAAATCAGTACCCCTACCTCAATCTTTAAACAATTTTCAACTGTACTCTAAATCACATAAAGCTGAAATTCTACTGAAATATATACGACCTGAAAGTTAATATAAACATGTGACATTGACACAGTGATGTCATTACAATACGATATTAGAATTGTTGCGACAGCTGAGTTCTTGGGTTAATTTCCGGATTGGAATGGAATAATGTGTTACCTATTGAGTTCTTTTTTAATTTTAGAGGCTCAGTGGTGGTTGGGAGACATACTTTTTACTCTTTGTTTGGTTATGTGTTTGAGTGCGTGAAAGCCAGATTTTGTTTTGTTTTTGTACTAAAATTTTATGAGTGGAAGAATCAGCGTCCCTCTTTTCAAAGGTCACTTTTTGTTACTTATGTTTGTAGTTCATGGTCATGGTTCATGGATGGTACACAAATCTAGCGTCACAATGACGATGCAAAACTATCAATTGTGATTTACAAAAAACCAAAAACAATAAGGTCGAGAATGGCAATAGAAAACTAGCAAAGAGAACTAAAAGACAAGCATAGATAATCAAAATAACAAAAGAATAAAATGTGTAATACAAAATCTAACTTGAATATACCAATGCCCTGCATGGGTTGAGCACTGCCGTGCCCTCAGGGATGTCACCGGCGATGATGAGCTTTCGCGGCCGGCCCTAGTTCGGGTTATGATGTGGAGCGACAAGCACTGGGATGCCTTGCCTCCTTTTGCAAAGCAGTCATGCTAAGCTATGGAGGAGGCGGGGCGCGTGAGACAGAGATTCACAACCTCCACACAACCCAGACGTCGCGTCGGGGATCGCGTGCGACCTCCGGCCACCGTAAACCACTCGGAGTGCAAGAGCAGGAACGGGGTGGTTTTTAGTCAGAAAGAGTCTGACACTCCGTCGCTCTCAGTCGGAGAATTCATTGGATGATTTTCACCCGCTAAAAATCCTGAATATACCTAACCATATTTTTTTTTTAAAAAAACGTTGCCCCACACTAGGATTATCTCCTGTGTCGTGGGTGCGTTTACAAACATACAAGTTCACATACACATGACACCCAGACCCGGAACAACAATTTGTGGATCGCACAAAGTGTTGTTCCGTGCGGGAACCGAACCCGCGACACGTTGCACGGCAGCCGGTTGCCCAGCCACCGCAGCAACCGTGCAGTCAAATGGTATTCTTATAAGTCTGTTGTAAAATATAAATCATCTAATAAAGTATGTATTTTATGGTTACACTTTTTTGTTAGTAAGACGCTTAAAATGTCTCAACGATAGCTGGGTTTTACATTGCATAAATAATACTCTTTCTTAAGCGCTCTTGGCTAAGTTACAACCGGACGGACCAACCCTTCTTAAGACTAAGCCTGCTTCGTCGCTGAATAGGTAACTAGTTCTAAAATCTCGAGTCACGATAAGTCAGGAAGTTGATTGAAAATTCAAAATAAAAATGACAACAATAATATACTAGCTGTGCCCGCGACTTCGTCTGCGTGGAAGAGCTCAATTGATTCAAAGCTCCTCTCCCGTAGGTGATAGTGTGATAATATGTTGACTTGGCCAGATCAGTAATATTCATGCAAAAGAGGTAAATCCGTGCAACACTTTATGAGCCCAGGTATACATATAGATAAACAGACAAACAGACAAATGGCTTCGGTATCGATTATAGATCGTGCCCCGAGCATTCTTTTATAAAAATATTCAATGTACAGTTTTATTATATGTATAGATTTTGGCAACATAAAACCTGAAGAGAAAAGATATAGATTTCTAGGATATCTATCTTCTTGAAAAATCTTCGAATGACTCACCTCACCAAGGCGGGAGAGAGTGTCAGACTCTTACTGACTAAAGACCACCCCGTTCCTACTCTTACACTTCGAGCTAGAGCCCCGGTAACCCGTTATGTTCTCCGCGGCATCTAGTCAATGTTAGAATCGCATTTTTAACTTCTCTGGTGTTCCAGGTGTCCATGGACGCCACTGTTCGCATACTACCAGGTGATCTATCTACTCTTAGCCAGTATAAATGAAACATCAAGAATTGAATGAAAGTACCTAGATGAAATCAACCAAAAATATTTTATTAATAAGTAATTCTACAATGGAATAACCACATATTGTTGTATTACTTCGGCATAAATCCTACTTAATTAATATTAAACGAAATTTCAATATTAATTAGCATCCATTTGGTATTCCTTTTAGTTTTATAAATATCAAATATTTTCTGAACTGTTGATGTCTTTTGTGAAATTATTGATACACAATTTTATTGTAACCAGTTGAATGACTTCAAAGACTGTTTATCGTTTTATAAAGGTCGATAATTAATTAATTATTGTTTATTAAACAGATTTCACAATGCAACATGTGTTGACCAGTTAATTATATCTTTTAATCATAGTCATTACGATTGTTCTCTATGTAAAACAACGTAAATAATCAGAATTCTTGATTCTTATCAATTGATTTCGATATGTACTCGAAAGTATCTTTCTTAGGCTACGTAATAGTAGGTACGATCTCTAGAACTAATTTACTAGCCTTAATACATTTTTAAATGTGGGAGAGCTATGCTTCGGCACAAAGCGGTCGGCTTGACCGGAGTGATACCACGACCTCACAGAAAACATACAATGCTTGCGCTGTGTTACGTCGTGTAATTGAGGTTACCGGAGGCCTAATTAGCCCCTCTCCCCAATCTCCCCAATCCCTGAATCCTGAACAATCCTCAAATTCCTTACACTCAAAGGGCCGGTTACGTACTTGTAACGCCTTTGGTGTTTCGGGTATCCACGGGCAACGTCGATTGCTTACCATTAGGTGATTCCTCTTAAACCATAAAAAAATTACAAATCGGTAGAATGTCTTAAATCGTATAGTGGATTATGGAATGTATTCTGTAACAGGAAAATCTCCTATCTCCCTTATTGACATCGAAAATGGTATCAACTCTATTGAAATTATGAGTAAAGTTAGCCACAAAATGCAGAGTGATTCATTCTGAGTCTATAATAAATTCAATTATTAATTGACCACTCCAATGAATTAATCTGTCAAACACCAAGCGGTCACCGGTGACCGCGACCTATTGTTCTTTAATTGTGTCTATAAAACCGGTACTCGACGAGTTAAAATGCATGTTAGGAAAATATACATTAGAATTGAATCATTAACATAGCCGATGTTGGTATAACAATGATTCTTTTATTTCATTATTCAAACTTTTTAGGTGTATACGTTCTAAAATAGCATAGCATACTAAATAGCGTTCTATTGAGCATATTAAAAACCGAACGCCTGTTGATACGCAAGCATGGCGGAAATAAGCAAGCTAATTTTGAGCAACATTTCGATACACACGCTACTAAGTGACAAGTGGTCAATTGAAACATGCTTTCGTGTATTTGCATTTATAACAGTATCTTTAGAAAAGTGTACTTAATTCAAACAATAAAATTGTATAAATAGTCCTTCTAAGATACCAATAACATCTATTTAAAAATTGTTATGGTGTAAAAATTATCATCATCATCATCAATAGCCTATAAATACCCACTGCTTAGCAAAGCCTCTTCTCACACGAAGAAGGTTTAAGTATTAATCATCACCGTTGCTCAATGCGGGATGGCGATTACAAACTTATTATTAGAAATTATAAGCCCAGGTTTCCTAACGTTCTTTCACTGTTTGTTAGTGGTGTCTAGATAATCTTAGAAAGTACATATAACTATGAAAAAGTCATATTGATACTTGCCGTTGGTAGGTTTCGAACGCGCACACTCATGCATGAGAAGCGTCTCAAACCTCCAGGCCACCACATCATACAAATTATCAGTTATCTAAAAATTATTTCTAGTACATGAAGTCGATTAATAGGAATTTATTTCAGTCTGCCAACAGACAGAAACATTATTTTCGAGTTCAAAAAGTTCAATGTTTTGTACTATTTAACATACAAAAATAAAAGCGAATGTAATTTCTATTTGTTTTTCAAATTATTTTCTCGCAATTCAAAACCGATTACGTATTATATCAATCAATATACATATATTGAACTAGCTTATAAGCTAATTAAATAATAATACGCTAATTGCACTAATAATCGTTCAATTTGAACTAGTAATTTCGGTTATTAGCGCCTTTATACAAACAAAAGAAAAACTTTTAAGTTTTATACTGAGGCTGAATTAATTATTTTTCCACAAAACCTTACAATACAACTATTTTGTAAAACATTAAAAACTATTTTTACTATCCACATTACCTTTACATCAAAAACCCACTCAATAAATAAACGATCCCTAAATATGTTAATAGATTAAGACCTTGCATATAAAAAGCGGATCCACAGGAATACATTATTTCACTTCCAGACGTAAGTCGTAGAGTTAATACAAAAAGTGATCAACAGAAAAGAGAAAAAATGCCTCCAACTGAAGATATTGCAGCTAAAGATGTCCCATCACTATCTGGTGATGAAGTCGTCATCAGTGGTATCTCAGGAGTGTTCCCAAATTCAGATAGTGTTTTGGATTTCATGAATAATCTTTATAACAAGGTCAGTGATCCAATGAATTAATTCAGTTCTAGAAGTGTTAAAGTAATTTAAGTGTTTAATTGTGTTTGCTTTGATGTAACGAAGACAAGTAATGTGATCAATGCTCTAAGGCTTGTTACATAGTGCTGATTTGTTTGAGACCTCAATTATATTGAACTATTTTTGATATGGCTTGTTTACGGTATTGTAATTTTAAAGTGGTTTGACCTTTTTAGAAGTGGTGTGACATACTTTAATCAAAATTGTAACATTTTTGCTTACACCTATACTCATTCGATTCATTTGCGATGTTTTTCCTTCACCGTTTGTCAGTGATGTCTAAATAATCTTAGAAAATACATATAACTCGGAAAAAGTCACATTGGAACATGTCGTTTGTAGCTTTTGAAATTGCATCCTCATTCATGAGAAGCGGGTGTCTTAAACCTCCGGGCCACCAAGACACCTTCCACTTATAAGCCTACGTAAAATATATCTTGAGGCCAACAAACATACTACCATATAAACACACAAACTTTCTCATTTATTATATTAGTCATTTTCATGTCAAGAAATCTGACGTAGTATTTAAGTATTAAGATATTAAAAAAATAAACAATAAGGTCTATAAAATATAAAGGTCAATTCAAATTCAGATATAAATAATGTAATGCAACTTATATTTGTGAACCTGTAACAAAAATAGACTTCCACAATATGGGAATTTAAATTTAAGCTAAAATGATACCAACATAGTATGAAAAGAGCGATTCTAATAAAATATTTGAACAGGTGGATATGGTGACAGAAGAACCGAAATGGAATGTAAATAATCCAGATATACCTAAACATGCGGGCAAGATTACTGGCACTGACAAGTTTGATGCGCAGTTTTTTGGAGTCAGTTATCATTTAGCATGTGCTTTAGAACCTATGGCAAGAAAACTGCTGGAACATGCTTATGGAGCCATATTTGATTCAGGTGTGGCCTTACGTATTCAAAACATAGTCATTGGTCATCATTATCTTCATCAGTTACAAGATGTCCATTAATAAACATAAGCTTCTCTTAAATATTTCCAGATAAGACTAGTTGCATGTGACTTACTTGTTCAATAATTCAAAAAAATATTCCAAAATTGTGATCAAAAATATTTTTTGCAGTAACGTTTTTTGCCTTTAGTTTTGTTCGATCTTATTAAGCTCAATATACCTAAGTGACAAACAATAAAAAAAATATTACTAAACCTCTTAAATTAACATTAGCATTATTGCACATTATCCTGAATTAAACGAATATGGTAGTATCCTGAATTTTATTTTAATGTCCGTCTGGTACATTAATTTAAAACTTTAGACACGTATTTTTTCTTTTCTCACAAAATTAAATACTTTCGACGATATATAAATTTGAAATATCGTGTGACGTCACATTTTGTAGCACGTTATGACGTAACAACCTCCCACTATTGTATTGCAATTTCACACAAAAAAATAAAAAAAATACGTATCTAATACTTTTCATTATCTAACTGATGGACTAATTAGATTTTTAATTTTGATACCCTGGAAACTACCCAATTATTTTGATAATGTTTTCAGGTCAATTTTTTTACTCAAATATTGTTAAAATATTTACAGGTACAAATCCTCAATCGTTAAGAGGCAAAAGAGTGGGAGTATTTGTTGGCGTAAACTTCACAGATAACAGTACTTTATCAATGTACAATGTAAATAAACGAACTGACTTTGTAATAAATGGGTAAGTATAAAATCTTACTTTAGATATAATCAATAAAAGTTAATGAATAAATCCTATAATCGAATATGAAAGAATCAGATTTGATAATAATTTTATTTTGTTTATTTTAGATGCAGCAAAGCTATGTTAGCCAACCGCATCTCATACTGGATCGATAGTAAAGGTCCATCATACGGTTTAGATTATGCCTGCTCAGGTTCCACTGCCTGTTTGGAAATAGCTTACAAGTCTATTAAATCTGGAGAATGTGATGCTGCAATTATCGGTGGATGTAATTTTGGACTACATCCTACTTTAGCTGCAAATTTAAGAAGGTAAAGTTACAATGTAACCTGTGTTAGTTAATACTAAATGCATAAAAATATTTGGTCCCAATATATGCCCCTGCGGAAACACCTTTCGATGATTTTTTTGTTACAGAGCGGGTTTATTATGCTTGGATGGAAAGACAAAATGCTTTGATAAGAACGGTGATGGTTACGTAAGGGCGGATGCTATTAATGTGATTTTCTTACAAAAAGCCAAAGATGCACATAGGTAAGGAAAACTGGAACTTATTATGAATGGGGTAGAACGTCAATTTGAAATGAATATGAATAATGGTTTATATTAATAAATCTTTTAACGTTATGAGTATTTGAATAATCAATAACGAACCGATTATTTATAGCATAGTGAATATTAAATATCTTTTAACCAACTTTACCATAGCATAACTTTTGAAGAACAAAATAAATAGTGTGTGGTTAAATATTATTATTTATGGGTGAAATATCGCTTTCAGTAATAATAAACAGCATGAGTATAATGATCACACAAACAAGCAATGAAAATTAATTTTCATTTGGCTTTATTCCGTAAAACTTTCATCTTACCTCATACATTTATTTTTCTTCCGCTGATATATTAATGCATTCGTAATGATAACAAGCTTCAACTTCTTTGTGCATAAAATATATTCATACGGTTATTTTTTCTCTGATCACTCTTTCATCATAATTTTTTTTCCCATTACGTACTGATTCTTAATGATTTTGTTCCTTTCTTTATAATAATTGAACTCTTTTATGTCTTTTATGTATCTATTTAGGAAATATCATTGAAAATATCTATATGTATACATATAATAGTATTTTATATTATACGTTGCACAGAATTTACACTCAAGTATACCATGCAAAAGGTATCTACAAAATGAGACCAGACGCCCAGTTCTTGCCGTACCGAGAATCTGAAGATATTGAGAAATTCCTTAATGAATTCTATAAGGAGACAAATGTGGATCCTAAGCGCATTGAATATGTTGAAGCTCATGCTGCAGGTAATATTATTACACTGAAAATTATTTCTACAGAATATGTGTATTTTTTTTTTTTTTTTTTTTAAGGGGGGAAAATCATCGAATGACTGCCCCCGCCTGGGTGAGGCGGGAGGGAGTGTCAGACTCTTACTGACTAAAAACCACCCCGTTCCTTCTCCTGCACGTCGAGCCGGAGCCCCGGTTACCCGTTAGGTTCTCCGCGACTCCGAATCGGCATCAGCCCTATTGGGCCCCATCTGTGGTGGTCTGATGGCTCTTTGAGGCGCGCGCGGAACGCGACGCGCCGTACGCTCGGGTCTGTTTCTGGTCGGACGGGGAGCCACCCATGCTCGCCGTCCGCAGGCCCGCGCTTACGGTGGCCGGAGATCGTCCCGCGATCCCCGACGCCCGGTGTGTCCTTCGCGATGGCTGGGTTGCGAGGAGGCAGCGCTTCGCAGCCTCACGCGTCCCGCCTCCTCCTTAGCTAGCATGACTGCTTCGCAAAAGGAGGAGACGGCATCCCAATCCCCCTCGCTCCGCATCATGGCCTGCACTAGGCCCGGACGCGAGAGGTCGCCATCGCCGATCACTTCCCTGAGGACACGGCGGTGCTCAGCCCACGAAGGGCATTCTCCCACCGTGTGTTCCACCGTGTCCTCAGGGCGGTCCTCGCAGTGATGACACCCGGGCGTTTCCTCCCGCCCCATCAGACACAGGTACCTCCCGAAACTGCCATGTCCGGTGAGGACCTGCGTCAGGCGGTAGGTGAGGACGCCGTAGCGTCTCTCAAGCCACTCCTCAAAGAGGGGACTTACCGCTGCGATGGCAGCGAGCCCAGTCCTCGGTTGCGACAGTCGTTGCTGCCATTCCGCCATGAGACAGAATATGTGTATAGGTGCTGCTGACTGTCTGATAAATTAATGTAAGTATTAAAAGAAGTTAGATATGCGAGGATAACACAAAAAAATACTTTTAAAACGTAACATAGAGCTTTCGACTTTCATCTTATTTGACAAACTACCCAATTTTGACAAACATTACAGTTTTGAAATTATATTTTACACCACAAACGCAACACCAGTTTTGAAGAACATTAATACATAGGTCGGTAAGGAAAAACATTTATTTGACAGTAGGCACGACCACAGATACAAAAATAAAAAAAATATATACAGAAACAATATAAAGATAAACTCTGAAGTTTGATATTTTTTACCAATATATTCTAGTTTTTGGTTCAATAACTATAACATTAATGACTGTATTGTTACAGCCATCGCAAAGGCAGATGAAAATGAACTGAGAGCTATTGGAAACATTTTCGCAAAAGAAAATTCAATCAAAGTTGGAAGTGTGAAATCTAATATGGGAAATAGTGAGTCAGCTTCTGGAATATGTGCTCTTACTAAGGTAATGGAATTAATTACAAAAAAAATAGTAATCCTCAATCTTAGATAATTAGGTTTAATTATAGAATAGAAAATGGTGCTCTAGGGAACGGTTTTTAAAAAGCTGACGTTCTGATGTCATGCAAACAAAAGTATCAATTGACTGCACGGTTGGCGCGGTGGCTGGGCAACTGGCTGCCGCGCAACGTGTCGCGTGTTCGATTCCCGCACGGAACAACTCTTTGTGTGATCCACAGATTGTTGTTCCGAGACTGGTGTCATGTATATGTGATATTGTATGTTTGTAAACGTACCCAAGATACAGGAGAAAATCTTAGTGTGGGGAAAGGTTTTAAAAAAAAAAATTACTAATTAAAATCAATGAAATTATAGAAAGTGTAATTCCAAATCGGGTTCTTGATTCACTCTTGACCCGTTTTTTATTATTTAAAAATTGAATTATTCATCTATTTAATCTATGGAAAAAAATCAGTTTAACAGACCTCTCCATTACAGTTCAATACATTACCAAGACAAGTACGTTATTACAATTTATCGATAGGTAATAAATTAAAGGAACTTCAGTTTCATTCTAACATTCACAAAGTTCTACAAATTATCATTTTTTACAAAAACACGTTTCATACCAACACTTCATTAAAATTCATATTTTATTATGCATTCATGCGAGTAGTAATGTTGAATGGTAAAGGAAAATTCGTTATCATAATCAAACCATGTATGTGTGTGTTAAAATAATAATATGAAAGGTTGGATTTATTTTTGGTTTTATGCTTCTGTTACTGGAAATGTTGAGGTAGGTACATCTGTATACATTAACACTAGAAAGACGGGAGCAGTCATTTGACCGCAATTTGATTTTAAATGTTGAATGACTTGAAATCTATTTGAGTTTTTAAACTGAGACTTTGTGACTTTTATTTATTTTACTAGTTAAATGCAACTATGTATGAAAATAAATCACAACTCTTTTATTTATTATTTAAAATCTTGATCTACCGACAAAGACGGCGGCAGTCATTTGACTGCTGACAACCAATGAGTGTTTATAAGTGTAATATGAGAGGGTAGAATACAAATTATATACACTAATTCATTGTTTATAGTTTGTTTATCAAATGAGACCGTATCTTTCAAGTGCCTGTGAACTTTTACGAAATTATTGAAAGTAGTTTGTGGTCGCAACGTGTTGGAGTCTTGAAAATGAAAAAATGTTTGTTACTTCCAAAATATTTGTGAAGATGAGTTTGATTTTGACTCTAAAATACAAAACGTGATAGTGAAGACGATTATGTGGTACTACTTGTCAGTTAGAATTCCTCTACGGACGGAAGTGACCTGAAAGACCAGATACTTCGAGCAAATTTATCAGACGTTCACAGGTCGGGTTCTCGTGGTTGTAGTCGTTGCTGTGGTAGGGATATAGGCTGTGAAAGGAGTTTGGAAGATCCTGAGCATCAAGGTCTTTTCACAACTATCGACTGTATCTTGTACACACCTCAAATGGTATCTACTCTAATTGGTCAAATGTTGATGAATCCGTTGATACCGATGCGTCTTGTGAAACTTTTTACAAGTACTGGTCAAAATGTTACGAACATCTCAAAGGTGAAATAGATTTTTTTTTATATAGGTATGCGACCTAGCAAAGATATTACATAATTTAGATAATTTTCCTTTTTAGATATAATTCCTTCATTTGGTATAGGAAAATGTAGAATATTACATGAAACAAAGGCTATTTATACTAAGTTCAGGGGGCGAACTTAGAAGCAAAATATAAATTGAAGAATACTCTCTGAAACTGAATCCTTGCCCGAATAGTCTAGATCTTTTGCTTCTCAATCTTCTGCACAAAATCCAGTAAATTCCAAAATATTATATACACAAATGCAAATACAAAACCCATAAAGAATGCGACAATTGCAAAAAACCACTTTGCGGCTTTTGTAATGTAAACAAAATGATAAAATTAGAAATTCTATACATATTACTTAATTAACAGTACATTATACCATGTTTAATACTATAGGTACCATTTCTAGCACTTAAACATAAAAAAACATATCAAAAAACTTGGAGCAGTCATTTGACCGCTCGCCGTCTTTGTAGGTAGATGATTTTTTCCGTCTTTCTAGTGTTAAAATCTGTGAAAAATATGTGTACTGATTTCGACCAAATTAAATGGGCATTATTATAGTGACTTTCTGCATTTTGTGATTGTGACAATAATTAAAATTAAATATTGTTCGTTCGACGCTATAAAGTTTAGTAATCTCCATGATAAATATATGCAAATTTCTATTTCTTAAAGTATTCGTTCAAGTACACTACTAAACTAACCAACTTTTTTCAGCTCTGTCTAGCCTATCACCAAGGCAAGTTACCAGGCAACCTCCATTATAATGACCCTCAAGATAATGTACCTGCAGTAAAAGATGGAAGAATCCAAGTGGTGACTGACAATGCAGATTTTAACAGAGGATTCACTGCGATGAATAACTTCTCCTTCTCTGGTGCTAACTTCCACATACTTCTGAAAGGACTGTATAAAGAAAAGGTAATGGATTAACGTATTAAAATGGTAAGTTAGATAGCGATAGAAATTAATTGCACAGATCAACAGGGCCACCAACTAAAGGCTTCGTTTGAGGACAATCTTAAAACAGTAAATTAGCTGATACGACAAATTTTCTTGGATTTTATTATTTAATCAATGACTAATCTTATTTTATCCAGCGGTAGTGAAAATAGTAGTCATCATACCGTCTTGCCTTTCATCCCCGAAGGGGTAGGCAGAGCTGAACATTACGGCAGGTAATGCCACTGTAGAATGCTACACCAACTTTTGACTATTTATGTTATGAGTCCCATGTAATAGGGCGAGAGCCTATTGTTATATATACCGGACATATTTCCAAACTCCGTGCTACTACTGACATTTAAAAAAAATACCCATTAGTACTATGCCCGACCCGGAAATTGAACACGAGACCCATTGCCGAGCCGTACTTGCGACCACTCGGCCAACGAGGCAAGCAAAATAGAATATCATATAGAAGAAGAATAGAATAGAAGTCAACAGGAATATCTCTACTTTTTTATTACAGAATCTACAAAAGTATGAATGCCAAATTCCTCGTCTAGTTTTAGCATCTGGTAGAGAAGAGACATGTGTGCATAAAATTATAGACATTTTGAAGAGTCATCCTATAGACGCTGAAGAGATTGGTCTTCTACATAAAATATTTGAGTACGATATACCTGGACATACTGGACGAGGATACACTATTCTTGGTAAGTAAATAGTTAGTCTTTGAGTACCGTCATTATAGACACAATTAAAGAACAATAGTTTGCGGTTATCAGTGACCGCTTGGTTTTTGACAGTTTAAATACTTTTTATTCGTAATTAGCTGTCAAAGAAGGGTATCTTACCATGTAAAGGTTTAGTCTGATACAGGTTTGTATATATACGGGTAGTTCTCAAAAAAGTGTCACAGTAACCTGTCAGGCGGTTTTTAGTGGATTCGAGTATTTTTTATTAGGGCTACTGGTCTTTTCTGCACAAAATTATACGTAAAGAGACTTTATACATAAAGGCCGAGTGAAAATGAGAAGTTTAGAGTAATACATTTAAGAAAAATGAAAATTGTAATGCCATTTTCTCAGTAACTTGTCGTGTCCAAACACGATGTGTCTGACTTTGAGTTCAAATAAAAAATTAATAACTTTCAATAAGCACTTAAATCAAATATAACACAATTCTTTATATGATTGATTTACCGTGATTTTAATTGTTGCACATAAATACATATAGTTCTTGAGATATTTATTCTCAAATTCTGTCAGAGAAGATTTTTCTCCACAACCTGGCGTTGCATACTACTGACCATTACCCACTGACTATAACGTTAGCAACATTCTATTCCCGCGCAAAATGGGCCTACACTATCTGGCTAACTGTTGTCAAAGAAAGATGCGATCAGTGTGTGCTGTTTTTTTAGAAATTACATCAATACATCGCAATCGGATAACAGGTATGTTGTCTATTGCCTGACCTATTTTTTTTTATTTGTATGTGAATTGCTTTAAAATGTTTTATGCTAAAATGTGTCATTAGGTGTCTGTAAACGAATCTATAAGTGTTACTTAAAACAAACTAACCGTTTGGTAGGTATCGAATATTAACCATCGTTTTCTAAGTAACTTGTATGTCTTTACCCTGTTGAAAATGCACAGGTTAAAGAGATTGCTAACAGGTTAAAGATATATTACCCATCTTTTATACAAATTCATTTTACTCATGTAATTCGGGTATAAATTACTTAGGTATCAGTACATAATATCCTTACTAGGATATTCACTTAATACTTAACTTACTTATTTGAGTTTATTGATGAGTTAAAGTGAATTTTATTACTCTTTGAATAAATCAATTAGGTTTTCCTTAAATTATTTAATAAATTAATATTGCTATTTCGGTTTTTTTTTTTTTTTTTTAGCTAGACAAGGTTTAATCTTTTTTTTCATATTTTCAAAGGTAAAAGCCAAAAGATAAGAAGAAAGAAGATACTTTAGCGCAAAAAGACGACTTGAAAGAAAGGTATATGAAAATATAAAAAAATAATCCAGAACTATACACAAAATACAAGTAAAAAACTAATATAAGAAGCGAAAAAGTGAAGGAAAAGTGTGTTAAATTTTATTTACAAATACTTTTGTAAATAAATTAACACCAAGGGATAAAAAAATGTTAAGGAAAAAGGGGCGAGAAGATGCAAAATGGACCTATCAATGTAAAAAATAAGAAATAGCTAGTATCCATTGGATTTGATTTTGATTATTTTAATAAGCAATATATCAGTGATCTTAGAGAACAATAATCAGCTTCCGCGAAGCTTTTATCAAAGTAGAAGAATAACTATATAGAATTCTAGGTTTAAAGAATGGTTAAAATTTGACGAAGCTGTTATTCACGTCGATTACTTGAAAAATTATGATTGTGCTTACTCAATATCGAAGTCGTCGACGTAGACAATATTGAACTTATAAAAATATACTTTATCAAAGCTTTAAAATGGAGCTACCCTGAGCTGAAATGTGTAACATAGAATTACTCTGATGGTGATAGTAAAGGAGCTCCAGATGCAGTTGGAATTGTATTAAAACGTACTGCTGATTTAAGGGTGAGCCATGGAAATGATGTACATGATTTCGAAACTTTACACTATTTTGCAAAAGTTAAGTTGAAAATATAAAATCGATACTAATTTAGATTATAAGACCTTTAAACAAGTTTTGTTTTTACCGAATACTTTATTACCATTTAAAAAAACACAGAAACCACCAAATTGTATGGAGCAATGCAAAGAAATGGTAATGTTAAGACAGCTTAGTTGTACAAAATAAACCTGTTTAACTTACGCTAAATTCTGTAAACACGGTATAAATCTTGGTTTTCATCGAGTTATTACAGAGGAAATTATCTCACCAGCAATACCCAGATGCTTAAGAAAAAGACCATCTGCTATGACTTCCTTTCAAATTTTAGACAATTGTTTCGACTCTGACGAAGATGGCATTGTTGCCTCTAGTAGAAATGTAGCAGATTATATAATTCCACCAGAATCAGTAAGTATTCTTCATAGATCGACACCATTTTCAGCTATTCCTGAAACGGAATTTCCTCCCCAACTCCAAAGAAGTACTTTAGATAAATCCGTTGCGTAGTTTTAAAGATAAGCATACATAGGGACAGACAGACAGCGGATAGCGACTTTGTTTTATACTATGTAGTGAAACCGTTATTTTTGTTAGTTTACATAATAAAATAAACGCAGGTTTCGCATGAATTGCATTGTTTTTTTCTGTAACCTATCTATTTCTATTTAACATGGAACACACATAACATAACATCACGCCTTTTATCCCCGAAGGGGTAGGCAGAGGTGCACACAGAAGTCACACCCACTTTTCACTATTTATGTTATGAGTCCCATGTAATAGGGGGTGAGCCTATTGCCATAAACCGGGCACATTTCCAGACTCCGTGCTACTGAGATTTTTTTTACAACCCAGTAATACTTTGCCCGACACGGGAATCGAACCCGAGACCCCTTGGCCGGCAGTCGCAGTTGCGACCTCTCGGCCAACGAGGCAGCATGGAACACATTTCTCATTAACCTGTACAATACCTCTTTAACCTGTAAGGCCAATTTTTTGAAAGGCTCTATTTCACTCAATTTACAGTAAATCTGCTTCCCTTTCATTAATTCACTTTCAGTTAAACACTGTCAATACATTTATATAAAAAAAACTCGATATTTGAAACATTTTTTGAAATTGACAAATTTAATCGATCTGAGCCACTTTTTTGAGAACGACCCATACCTAGATTTTTAAAAATACTCCTCCCATTAAAGGATAATAATATGTCTATTTCGTTTTTTGAGCCAGCGTAGGAATCTGTATTCTTAAAGTTCTTGTGTAAATTTGTAAAAATACATTTTAGTTTACAAAACCATTTTCACCGTCACGATAAGAACTAAGACTTTACTCACACGTGCCAACCGTGTTGATAAGATGTCAACGAACAAATTTAAGTTCGAAGACGACTCGGTTTCTTGAAGATCGTTTAATTAACTTTTATTGGGCCGTGGTGAGAAATCAAATTTCACAAAACGTGTGCCTGGCTGAGTTCGCTGTTACCTAAGCCTGCCAAATATGAGATTGGTATGATTTGTTATTCAGTTCAACGTTTAAATGACTTTTGGAATTAGATTGAGAATGAAGCTTTTTGATTATTATCACGCTTTTTATCCCCGAATGGGTAGGCAGAGATGCACTTACGGCACGTAATGCCACTGTTCAATGTAACACCCACTTTTCACTATTTATATTCATTTATGAGTCCGACGTAATAGAGGGTGAGTCTATTGCCATATACTAGGCATAATTCCAGACTCCATGCTACTACAGCGAGTTTTTTAAAGACCCTGTAATGCTTTGCCCAACCCGGGAAACCCTTTTTGAATAATTATTAATTTTGTAATTTTTGGAATGTGTAATGTAAGGTTCTGATGCAACGACAATAACGCAAGCAAGGAACATTTCATGACAATGCAATTACTGAGTAAAAGACTAATGTGTGAAGTATTGGTAGTTTGATATTCTCTCAAAACAACAAAAATGACAAATTAATCAACATAGTATTATCTGACAGACCTCTTCTTTTGATATATATTGAGTTCACGACGATGACACTAAACAAATTTTTATTTTGCAGATACCAATGAGAACCATGAAACAGTAAGCATAGCAGAGAGTGCAGATTACTATCCAGGGTTAAAACGTCCTCTGTGGTTTGTCTATAGCGGTATGGGTTCTCAATGGGCTGGAATGGGAGCTGATCTGATGAGGATACCAATATTTGCCAAAGCTATTCATAAGTAAGTATTTAAATGTTGAATTTGTTATAAAACTTAACGTAATTATCATCATTTTTCATTATGGAATAGCGGTGAACCTATTGTTTATACCTATCTAGGCCAGCTATTAAGTGAATGGCTGAAAATATAATAATCATAAAATAGATTTACCATCAGGTGATACGTCAGTTCGTTTTCCATGAAAAAACTTAAAATAAACTCAACAAGTAAAGTAATATTCATTAACAAATAGTAAATCTATTGAACTAGAACAGAACCATTAATATTCGTAATACACGCTTAAAACACTTGAAAATGAAACTTAGTAAAAATATTTTTAACACATTTTCTAGGACTAAGCCTGGAATACTTGAGATAGAAAACTTTCAACACACCTAATGAAAAACTAACAAAAATTAAAGAGAAACAAATACTTGGCAGCTATTTTTCGTTTTAGGCCAAGTTTATTTTTGCTATTCATGAAATTATTATTCAAAAGGTGATTCTTAGTTTTTGTATCATTAACATGGTAGTACATTGCTTCACAATGATGTTTAAGCTGTACGATTATATTTGCGTATTCTTATAGTTTGTTGAACTATGGAGATTCAGGGAATGTTTGTTTTATGGAGTGCAGTTTTACATTCAGATATGCAAATTGGAATACAAATACAGGTACAGCACTTAAGTATGACAACTTATTTGTAACTCTCAGTAGCCTGGTTAACTATAACTTTTCCCTATAAGCTTTCATTTCTTTTTATCTTATCTATAACCTGATTGGAAACTGACACATGCGTGCTGACTGACTGCTGTCACTGACAGAACAGGTCCGCTCAAACTGTTGTGAATCTTTCCTTAATAGACCACTATAGAATCAACTTGCATGGTTCTCGCATATTACATAATCTGTTTGGACTTTAAAACAGACCTCTGAGTTTGTTTCGGCGTTTCTTCTCAGAGTAGTGAGTTAGGAAATGCTGGCTCTCATCTAGTTATTTAAAGATAGACGTATGCAATTTTTAAACATATTTGCAGAAATAATTAATTATCATTTCATTTCTTTTCATTCAAATTAAAAATAATATTCACTTCTATTTATGCAATATCATGTTATACATAAGATGTCTGTACAAAACATTCTTACATTCAGAACAAGAATAACTTCTTGTTCTCAACAGTGACACCCAAAAGCGAAGTCATTAACCAAACATGACGAGTGTCACTTACATCTTTATTGTTATCAAAATGAGTATAAAAAACAAAGAAAGCCTCAAATTCCTGATACAACTTCTATTTTTAGGAGTTAAGGACCGCCTTTCAACTTATTATGATAGATTGCCTTTGTTAATGTTTTGTTGCCCTCTGAACAACGATTAAGGTCAAATACTTGACTGCTCCTTCAAAAGATTTTAGACTTGTAATATTTAATAATTTCCGTGAGCTTGGGACGAAAGGAAATTACAAGATGTGTCAGCCTTTATCTTTGTATAGCCGTTGTTAGAGCAAAATTGGTGGAATAAATCAATGGAGCTTCGAGAAAATTTGTTTAATGGTTTTCTTAATTGAATTTTGCATGTAGTTTAGGTGAAGTTTGTAACAAAAGTTTTAAAAATTTATTGTTATTTTAATTAAATATTAGTTGGAAATCGACGTTACACTATTATATTTTACTAGCTTCTGCCCGCGACTTCATACTCGCAGTCCCGTTTTCTCCCGTTCCCATAGGATTTTCAGGATATTTTCTATCATAAGAACCCTTTCTTGACAATAACAAATAAAACAAAAACAAAGATCAGCCAAATCAGTCTAGTCGTTTTTAAGTTATGGCGTGACAACGGGAAAGTGGTTTAATTTTTATATATACAGGAGTAATGTAAAGGTCACAAGAGGTCGCTAGATGCAAGTCGCAATCTGAATCATACTAGTGTCCAATGATTGCAGCACTTTTAATTTAACCACCCACTCTACTCAGCTCGTAACGTGATATTTTATGAAGGCCTATCGCCTTTCACGATAAATACACTTTCCAAAACAAAAAAGAAATATTTAATATGAACCAGTAACTAGTTCCAGAGATTCGCGCGTTCAATTAGTACATAGTATAAATAGCAATAATCCTGTAACCAACGTCACAATCCACCTAAATTTTACCCAGCAAAATTAAACATTTTAAACAATTACAGGTGTCACAAAGTATTGGAACCATTAGGCCTAAATCTTATACGGATTGTCACTGAACCAGACAATAGTATATTCGACAATATTCTGAACGCGTTCGTTGGCATCGGTGCGATACAAATTGGCCTGACTGATGTCATTAAGGCTATGGGGATTGTTCCTGATTATATTATTGGTGAGTCAAAATTAATTATAGCTTAGTGATACGGTTTGATTTCGGAGCAATTATTTTGAATTAGGAGGGGATCTGATGATGAAATTATATTGCAATTTCAATGTCGGCGCCGCTTTTAGTTTGAAGATTGTGACGTAACATTAAATCTGAATGCTGATCATTATAAGTGTAGCTGGTTTGATCCCTGGCCTTGTCTAAATACTGTAATATGTACACATAACATCACGCCTTTTTATCCCCGAAGGTAGAAGGTAGGTAGGCAGAGGTGCACGTTTCGGCACTTAATGCCACTGTACGATGTAACACCCACTTTTCACTATTTATGTTATGAGTCCCATGTAATAGGGGGTGTAATATGTACTGTTATAATATTTTATGTATTATTGTAATGAAACATTATTATTATCAAATAGTAGGTGATCAATTCTCAAATAAGATATGTTATCAAACATTAAAACAATAAACATACTATTAGTTCTATCGATTGCTATAAAAATACAAAATTCAGTAAGAAAAAATAATGAAATAGGTTCTTAAAGTTCTACTTTTTATCATTGAAGTAAAAGTTGGTCATCAGTCAAGAGTGAAATATTGAATAATTTGTTTAAGCCAACAAGTTTGATTTATGTAGCTGAATAAAATCGAGATTTTCAGAATTCTGGTAGTCCATAACGATCCATCAAAATCAATTTACTGATCGTATATCACTGCCGAACTTAAAATACAATACGTTATTTTTGCACCGGCAACACTGCATCACAGTGTTGCAAAAGTTATTTATACTTAAATAAATAAAATCTTTTAAAAATATTTGTTAACTATTTTTCTGAATGTTATTTTTGAACATTTTATTTTATTAAAATTTAAATTACTTAATTTTTATTTTTCTTTATGACGTTAAGTCTATAAAAAGTTAAGTGTTTAAAATTCAGTGTTTTATTCTGAATTATAGCATGTACCGTACTTGACCTGTTATTTACCAAATAACAAATGTCCTGCATTGTACTTCGAAATATTAATAACTGCAACTTAAAAAGCCAATTTGTAGAGTACCAAATCAAATTTAAATCGAAACAAATTCTAAAAATAGTTCATTAATTATTTCCACAACTTAGCTTAGAATTACTACCATGAACTGTATTTTTTCTTCCAAGGTCACAGTTTGGGTGAAATGGCGTGTGCATATCACGACAATACATTTACTGCTGAAGAGCTGATCCTAGCTACGTATAGTCGAGGCAAAGTGTGTTTGGAGACTGACCTCATAAAGGGATCAATGGCTGCTGTTGGTGTTGGATATCAAGCTGTAAGGAACATTTGTTTTAAAGTCTACTATTGTATGATAATTTTGAATCTTCCTACTGAATCATAGGTCGTGTTTTTTCTATACTTGGTTGTAGAAATTACTGCTGCGCAACGGTTCGATTCCCGCACGAAACAACTCTTTGTGTGATCCACGGATTGTTGTTCCGGGTCTGGGTGTCATGTGTATTTGAACTTCTATGTTTGTAAACGCACCCACGACACAGAAGAAAATCCTAGTGTGGGGCAACGTTTTTGGTAAAAAAAACCACAAAAGGTCGGCAACGTAATTTAAACATTGAACTGAAACAGAAGAGTCACCTTCTTCAGTGTTTAATGTTCATTGGCGGTGTCAGTTGTATCATCAAGTGATCCGATATCTCATTTGAGCCCTTTCCTATAAAAATATCATGTAACAAAATTACAAGTTAAAATCAGAATAATTGTAGTTTCACAACTTTGTCATGATACATCAAGTGGCACAAACGTTCTCACAAAACGAAAATTAGACCGATGATACCAAAATAGAACTGACTTGTTGAACTCATCATTGATGTTATGTTATCTTTTACAGATTGTAAATCAATGTCCACCAGAGATAGACATAGCCTGCCATAATAGCCACGAATCCTCCACCATATCTGGTCCAGCTGACAAAATGACAGAGTTCGTTGGAGAATTAACCAAACGCGGTATATTTGCTAAGGAAGTTCCCTGTGCCAATATAGCGTATCATTCGAGATACATTGCGCAATGTGGTAAGGAAAATTATAATACTTTAAACAATATAAAAAAATGTGTACATAGTAACTATCGTGAGACATACTAAATGAACTAAAAATCGCGGGTTACTGACATGAGTAGGCTGCGCGACATCACCGCGACCGCCCACGCTGCTCATGAGAAAAAACCCCTCTGTGGTTCGAAACTAGTAGAGCTTTTCTCAGTATATTCACGTGAGTAACCCGTGATTTTTAGGTAATGTGTGAACAAAATAAAATAGTCAATTCCAATAAGAATGAGGCGATTTCAAAATTTTTAATTTCGATCAAAACTTTGTATTTTTTTTAGTGCTTACTCATCCAGAACCTAAAATTTTAAAGGTCTATTATAATTATGTTTCTATTTGAAAGTTGTTATTAATATTATTAGCATGTTGGTCAATAACAGTTTAAAAAAATGTTCACAGGACCTGAGCTACTAAGACGTTTACGAGAAGTAATCAAAAGCCCAAAGAAGCGAAGCAGCAAATGGATATCGACTTCTGTCCCTCAAGATCGTTGGGATCAACCTGAAGCTGTATACTCCTCTGCTGAATACCACACCAACAACTTGTTGGTAAGAAAAAAACAAAAAAAAATATATGAACTTGTTAATCTAGTCCTAGTATGTATATAAATCGTACATGTGGTCTGATTTGCAAAAGTCAATAATAATGACATAACATAGCATAACGTAACATTACGCCTTTTAGGCAGAGGTGCACATTATGCCACTGTACAATGTAACACCCACTTTTCACTATTTATGTTACAAGTCTCATGTAATAGTGGGTGGGTCTATTGCCATAAACCGGGCACAATTCCAGACTCCGTGCTACTTCTGAGATTTTTTTAAAAACCTAGTAATACTTTGAATCGGGAATCGCACCCAAGACCCGGCAGTGGCACTTGGCCAACGAGGCAGTCAATAATAATAATTATATTACAAAAAATTAAATTATAGACCTATGGATACATACATACATACATAACATCACGCCTTTTATCCCCGAAGGGCTAGGCAGAGGTGCACATTATACCACTGTATAAAGTAGCACCCACTTTTCACTATTTATGTTATGAGTCCCATGTAATAGGTGGTGAGCCTATTGCCATATACCGGGCACAATTCCAGACTCCGTGCTGCTACTGAGAATATTAAAAACCCAGTAATACTTTGCCCGACCCGGGAATCGAACCCAAGACCCCTTAACCGGCAGTCGCACCTACGACCACTCGGCCAATGAGGCATTCACTCAGTTATTAGATAGTGATTAGTTTAAATGGTAAATTTAATCACTGTTTTAAAATTCGGCCAGTAAGACAAAGTTAGCTAAAAACTAGATCGGATTTATTACTTTAACATAATTTTAGGTTTGGTACAGTTTTCTTCAGCAAATATTAGATATGAGTTGATCAATCAACTTTTGAACTATGAATTAATATGTATTGACAAAACTAAAATTAAACTATGATTGAAAATTATGTTGAATATACTCCATTAACCTAGATTTTCAACGAGAGAGAGACTTTTCAAGAGAGGGTTTGGTTCGAGTTCATTTTATATTTAAAGTAAAGAAAGAAAGAAAGAAAAAACATTTATATTACGCCACGACACACACGTAGACAAGAATACAGGTATATACACACAAAAAGCCCATGACGCGTCGCAGCTTAAAAAGCCGAATAATCGAAATAAGACCGCGTATGACGTTGCTATTGGCCGGCTCCAATGAACGAACCAATCGAAATGTAGAACGCGGTTTCGTTTCGATTACTTTTAATATAAACAAATTCGTTCTAAACCCGCTAAACACGCATACATAAATAAAGATATATATACCTCTAAAACTAGAAATCAATATTTTTTTTTTTAACAGAAACCAGTGCTTTTCGAGGAAACTTCAAAGATGATACCAGATAACGCTATAGTCGTTGAAATAGCACCCCACGGTCTACTCCAAGCCATTCTAAAGAGATCACATAAAGAATGCACGCACATACCTCTTACTAGACGGGGCAATACTAACGGTGTGAAGTTTTTACTTGAAGCTATTGGAAAGTAAGTTTTAGATTATAGGATTAATTTTATTGTGTTTGAGTAGCTTTTTAATTTGGCAAATTATGGAATTTTTGGAGATTCAAAATTGTCTCAAGATTTGATTCGATGTGAGTTCTAATAACCTGGGAACCTGGAAATGTTCTAGCACCCTCAGCACCAGTCATATACGGCCCACAAAATATACCATCAGAAAAATATTTCGAATTTATAAAAATGTGGCTTGTTTTTCAAGCAAATGAAAAACAAATGCTGAGAGTAAATTTATATCCGATTTTGCTACGCCAGTGTTATTTCAGTACAGAACAAGTTTTAGTAAAGTTGTTTATTATGTTAATTTAACTTTTCAAGACTATTTCACTATAAAACATTATTGTACTGTGGTGGTAGAAAACTTAATCTATTTGCACACATTGCGTAGTGATCGGATAGCAAACATTCGTGAAACAAGATTTGATTTTAATACCAATAAAACTCTTCTATACCTAGCCTATATTAATATCTCATCTGTTGCTAAATTCTAGAATAAATATCTTTTACAAATCTAACTATGCAAATCCAGTATAAACTGAACCTTGTATCTGCGGAAAAAGCATACAAAGTGAGACCACGATATACTGGATTCTTAGCTTGATGTGCTGCTGAGTATACCAACGTCCTCTAGACTTTTGAAACAACCTTGTTCATTATATTGATATTTAATTTCAGATTGTATGAAGCCGGTATTAATCCCAGGGTGGATGTCTTGTATCCTAAGATAGAGTTCCCTGTTTCTACAGAAACGCCTCTTTTGTCCCACTTTGTGGCGTGGGAACATAGCGAGGATTGGTAAGATTTGAATTTGATATTTTGCTTTTGTGTTAAGGTTCAAAATCGTACATCAGTTTGAGCAATCGTTTGTTGGAAAGGATCAAATGAATATATAATATTGAATATGAAAAATAAGACAGGAAAAAAAGAGTTTATCAAAACTACTTTCTTTATGACTAGAAACCTTATTCGTTACATCGACACTCAAAGCTATCAATAAAATCAAAAAACAACAATACCTCCCTTATTACTTACATAATTAAATACATTTCTCATTACACTTCTTCCACAATTAATATTAAATTCCGCCGAGTATGAATTTCCGTGTAACTTGAGCCTTGCTTTACGCTCATAAACGGTTTATGGTTTAATTATCATGATGTCATGTCATCCTCTTGACATTCTGTCGCATACGCCCCTAATTCTCCATGCTGAGTGTTCCCTTAATGTTTCGTTTGTAACATAAGATTGGGATGTGTTATTATGAATTGGGATTAAGAATAGTGTTAGTTATGATGGACTTTAATGAAATTGGATGCTGATCATAATGGGATAAATTCTGTTTTTCTTATTCAAACATCGAAACGTTATAGACTACGGTAGAAATCGTTTCATAACATACATTAAATCAATTGTTAAGATTAAGAGCAAGCAACTAAATCAATGTATATAGTACCTATGTATATAATTCTCTTCTATATATTACAATCACTGAAGAAAGGATATGTTTACGTTTAATAAATACAAATCTTTTTAAGGTGCGTCCACATCTGTCGAATGTGCCGCAAATGTGCAGCTTGCGATCCGTTTCTGAGCTACCCACGAGTTGCACGCGTGCATGCCGAGCAATGGTTTGACGTGCCTCTTTAGTGCAACTCATGCATGGTTCATATAAATAATAATATTGAATGCACGCTCACATTCGTCAGATGTGGACACACCCTTACATTATGTAGAAACAATTACCATAGTGTGTTGTAATTTTAAATTAATTATTGTTTGATTTTTTTGCCTTTATAGGCCACAAATGTCCTTCTTAGAGAAGGATGAAGTACGAACAGCAATGGAACGAAAAGTGATTTTATCTACACATGATGATGACTATAACTTCTTGGAGGGACATTTGAGGAATGGTGAGATAAAAAGATTTCTGTATTGATTTTCTAGATGTTGTCGATGTCCTTTTTTATATTACTACGATTACTTTTGATATTTTGGTTATATTGTTATTTGTGTATCCATATATGTATTTGTAAAATCGAATGCATTATTTAAAAAAACCATAGCCTTACACTACGATTTTCTCCTATACTGTACAATACAAATATGTAATTTCACGATTAGAATTACGATAAATTGTAGATAACATGTTTTTCCGTGAGGGTATGGAACCCGCAGTATATATGGTGGTCAAACGTCGTTTAAGTGTAAAAAAAAATAATCTCGCATAGCAGCCGTTGCAACCCAGCCATTGCAACAAAATCAAGTTACTTATCTTCAAGTCTCCACAAAAACAACCTTATAACCGCAACTTCACCGCAATGCAGTCAATAGGCAGTTTCTCGGAAACAGTAAAACAGAACACTTTTACATTCTACGGGAATTGCACGCCAGTTTAAATTGCATTTTATTTTATAGGTGCCAACGTGTTGCCTGAGTCAGCGATCCTGGTTCTCGTATGGGAAACTCTGGCTATGCACATTGGTGTAAGCTACAGAGACCAGCCGGTTGTATTCCGTGATATACACTTCCATAGCGAAATCGTTTTAAAACCAGATACACCTCTACGCCTTACTGTTGCTATTAATAGAGGCAGTAATAAGTTTGAGGTAAGATACTTATCTTTCATTTTTCAAAGATTTAGGCTAAGGTATCCATTAAAATTGCTAATTCCTACTTTCTATAATATAATTATGAGTCATTGTCTCACTGTAGTAAGAGACGAAGGCGATGCCCGTAATTTAGCAATTACTTAATTAAGTAAGCAAGTGTTAGGCAAGCGTATATACTTCAGTTACTACTTGAGGTGAGAATTTAAAGAATGAAAACACCTAAATATTTTTTATTTAACTGTATTTACTAAAATCACGGGTTTCTCACGTGAATATACTGAAAAAAGCTCTACTAGTTTTGTACCACAGAAGGGTTCTTCCTCATGAGCCGCGTGCGCGGTCGCGGCATTCGTCATCACGCAGCTCATATAGCGCACGCTGCTTTTCTCAGTATATTCACGTGAGTAACCCGCGACTTTGGTTAATTTAGTTTGTTTCGCGATAGTTATTATTTAGCTGTGCCACGGAACCTAAAACTTTTGCCTTTGTTGTGATCATTTTACACTTAAGGCCGTCAGTCGTAGGTATGGGTAAGAATCTTTACCAAAATATCTTTAATGAAACCTGAACTAAAATCAAAACACCAGTTGTTGCCTTTATTGCGGTAAAATTCTAATTAATTTTACCAACTTCAAAGCAATTTAGCCATTTGAGCACTAATATCTGTATCAGAAACGTCTCAAATTAATTTGACCTTTTAAGCAACTAATTAAATGCCTAGATATGAATTTCTTTATCAGCCATCTGTGATAGTCTAATTAGAAAGTAAAATTTTCCACTAGCACATGATTAAGATTGAATACATTAAAATCTATAGGTACACACATTTTTAACTGTTACAGTTCAAAGTCTAAAGCAGTATCCATACCTAATTTGATTATAATTATACGAATTTATGTCATTTGTAATGAAACATTATTGGAAGAAAATAATTTTAAATTGAATTTTTTTTAGGTCAGCCAAGATGACATTCGCATAGCAAGTGGCATTGTAAGTGGTGTTAAAGTTGTAAAATATAATCAAGACCCAGAAATCATGGATAAAGACGAGGAAGAAATCATATTGAATTCCGAAGACGTGTACAATATATTTAGATCAAGAGGATATTCTTACAGGTACGTCATTAATAGGTATTTTTAGTACAAACCTTTAAAGGTGACTGCTGTAAATAAAATCCTACATCCATGACATTCAAGTAATACCCAATTACCACAATTGATCCTCGTTTGTTGTAAAGTTAATATTCTTATATAGTTGTTCATTTTAATAAAAAACGAACTACCTCATCAATTTTTAGTATCAGATAGGTACTTATAATGTCTCGACGAATTTGATGCCTACAGCAGTCTATTGTTAGGTGTAGTATTAGTAGCTATCAGAGACACAGACAGATAGGGCCCAACAGGGCTGATGCCAATAGGGAACCGCAGAAGACTTAACGGGTTGCCGGGGCTCCGGCTCGTAGTGCAGGAGTAGGAACGGGGTGGTTTTTAGTTAGTAAGAGTCTGATACTCCGTCTCGCCTCACCCAGGCGGGAGAAGTCATTGGATGATTTTCCCGCCTCGAAAAAGGTGAAGTATTAGTCACTATTTGGTGTGATATGCCTCAAAAGGATTTTCTACACTTTTTCAAACAAAAAAAAACAAAAAAAATGTTCTTCTACAAACTAAGTTTGTCATCCTGTCCCTGTCTTTATCAGGTAATCTTCCAACTTCATTCCGCTTTAATCCCGACATCAACATAAAATAGTAGCCAATTTACGTCTGAACCATTATTCTGTCGTCCCTTTTACTCCACGTTAAACTTGCATCATAAAATTTAAGAAAATAAGGTAAACAAGATAATTCTTATCCAATGAACTCCTCAGAAAGGTTCGTTTATTTTCTTGTAAAATTGACTGCCTTGTATATACTGCTACATCACTATAAAATGCATTTATCACCATACTTATTCTTCTCGTGGGTGCAATAAGAACAGATGAATGGTTTCCGCATTTAACGAAGATCGGGATCTCTTACTGTGGGGCCACATTTTTAACTGGATATAAAAACAATTACAGTTGTCACATTCTGGGGTCACATTTTTACTTCCATAGAAAAACAATAACAACTACCATTCAAATATTTGACGGCACGTTTGGCGCGGTGGCTTGACAACCGACTACCGCGCTACGTGTTGCGCTTTCGATTACCACACGGAGTCACACTTTGTGTGATCCACAAATTGTTATTTCGGGTCTAGGTGTCATGTGTCTATGTGAACTTGTATTTTTCTTAACGCACCCATGACAAAGGAGAAAATCCTAAAGTGGAGAAACCTTTTCTGTAAAAAGTATGTATTGTTTATTTTTTTGTTTAGGGACCAATTTAAATCCATTGAATTATCAACGCTAGACCATAAGAAAGCATTTGTCCAATGGAGTGGAGAATGGGTGACGTTCTTGGATTCCTTGATACAGCTTAGTACACTATCGAGAAACCAGGAAGGGATATCAACTCCTAAATTCATCAGGAAAATAAGGATCAGTATTTTGGAACAGCAGATTTCAAACAGTGTAGAGGTTAATGGAACTAAATGTTTCCCAGCGCAGTATGATGATGTTCAAGGCGTTATAAGGTAAGATGTACTAAATTATAATATTTTTGTAAACCTCATTTGTAGCAACTAATGGTTAACTCCATGCATTTTACAGTAGAATTAAGAACTATGTTGATATCGCAATAAATATTATACTACGAAACGTTTGATATGTTTATTACATTATCACACTTCACTAGAGGTACATATTACAAAACAAAGTCGCTATCCGCCGTCTGTCTGTTCCTATGTATGCTTATATCTTTAAAACTACGCAACGGATTTTGATGCGGTTTTCTTTAATAGATAGAGTGATTCTTACGGAAGGTTAATGTGTATAATACATGCATATTGTACCCGTGCGAAGCCGGGCCGGGTCGCTAGTATATTATAAATGTGAATGATTCTTTGTTTGGATGTTTGTCCGTCAATCACGCTGAAACTACCGATCGGATTTTGACAAAATTTAGTATATAGGCAAGGGTATGGGTTGTCTTAGGTGATGGCATAAGATAGGAGTTTTTATCCCGATTAAAATGTTCCCATGGGATAAAACAGGAAGAAGTCACGGGCAACAGCTAGTAAGAAATATTGAAGCTATTTTATTGAATTTCTTATTTTGAGTATAATGTGTTCAATATATTTTTGTTTGATAAAGTCTTATTATTTTTATCGAGAAACAAAAACAGATGAAAGGATACAATTCAGAGAATCTCTCAGATGTCTATACATTTTGAAGTATGGGATTACCATTGTAGATCTATTATTTTTGAAACCGAAATATTCTAAGAAATAATGTAAGTGTTTATTTAAGTAATGTGATAGATAATATGTCTCAAAAAGGACAAGATAATGACATGAAAGACCGTCTTAGATATTTTTCTTGATACATATTGGTGTGCCATTCAATTTAAGTCCTTTGATGTTTATTCAAATTCAGAAAAGTAACTTTATGAGTATGTGTATCAAAGTTTATTTTACCAAAAAATAAATAATATAACGGGACTGTTTTGTTTACGCAAATCGAATATTTTTTTGTGTAAATGATAAGAGAGGGCATTTAAAACAGTTAGAGCCTTCGACACAAAAATGAATTCGTAATAGAAATAAAAATACTCGAAATTTAGTATAAAAAGTGTTTGAACCATTGAAAAATCAGCAGTATGTTTATTAATAACAAAACAATCTCATATAGGACTTACAATATCAAATAGTCAATAATATTTATCATCCTCAGATGTGCTGGCGTCGAACTAGACAATGTTACGTTTGTGGATAAACCAGTTATAAATCAGCAGCCAGAAGTGTTGCTAACTAAATCTTTCTACCCTCACTATGCCATGGACCAAGTTGACGTAAGTATTAGTTACAATAAAAAAGTTGTGACAACCATCTTAAGTAATAACGTTTAATAACATAATTACGTATAAAGTCAAAGAACGAGGATGACACGTTATGCTAAAACTAAGTTATATCGTTATGTAAAATGAAATATATTAAATTATTGCCTTAACTTTCATTTGATACAAAACACGCTATAATCAATTAAACTTTTTATTTTATTTACGATCTTTTTGGCCTTTATGTAGACTATAACCAGCGGAGTAATAAGACGCTTTAAATGATACCACATTTATTACATCCTGTAGTTTAGGAGTTAGATGGGAACAGATGAACATACATGCATATATGACATACCGGTAAAAAAATCATATTCTTCCTTTTGGCGTCGACAAATCATCAAATGACTCCTCTCACTCCGGGTAAGACAGGAGACAATGACCATTTTGTTTTTACATATCGTAACGTTGTCGTCGTCGTATCGTAACATCACGCCTTTTATCCCCGAAGGGGTAGGCAGAGGTGCACATTATGCCACTGTACAATGTAACATTCACTTTTCACTATTTATTTTATGAGTTCCATGTAATAGGGGATGAGCCTATTGCCATATATCGGGCAAAATTCCAGACTCCGTGCTACTACTGAGATTTTTTAAAACCCAGTAATACTTTGCCCGGCCTGGGAATCGTACCCGAGACCCCTTGCCCGGCAGTAGCACTTGCGACCACTCGGCCAACGAGGCAGTCGTCAGTTTTTAAATACTACATGAATAATATTTAATTTAAATCATTAAACATTATAGGTATTTTATTTCTTTACAATATGAAAGCACGACTAAAGACATAAACTTAACGGCAGCCTTTTCACACATTTTCTCATAGGATAAGCAGATTCTTAATTGAATGTCAATCACTTTGGAGCGTTCTTGGCACTGAATTTAATCTGCAGACTTGCATCTAGGATGAAAGCAAGCAAAATTTATATGGCTTATTATCGTGACATGGGACCTAAAGTTATTTATAGGTGATACAGAAAACATTAAATTTTATATTACACGCAAAATAATATGAAATGCAAACAGTCTGTGTATTGGAGATTTTATTTAGATTAATTGAGTGATTGAATAGTGTGTGGTGTTTAGTAAAAAGGATTTTAAACATTAGCAACACATTAAATTATGATTATATTTTTGACATCCCCTATTAGAAGAAGAAAAAGACTGCCACGTTGGCCGAGTGGTCGCAAGCGCGATTGCCAAGGCAAGGGGTCTCGGTTTCTGTTAATATAAACTGTTTTTTTTTATAAATCTCAGTAGTTGGAGTCTGGAAATGTGTCCGGTATATGGCTCACCCCCTATTACATGAGACTCATAACATATATAGTGAAAAGTGGGTGTTACATTGTAGTAATATTAAGTGCCGTAAATGTGAACCTCTATCTACCCCTTCGGGGATAAAAGGCGTGATACAATGAAATTATCAGAAGTTGTAAAATCTCGATAACTATCTGGACTGTGAGATGTCTAGGTTTGAGAAATAAACCATTTATTTGTCAACACCTAAATTCTTTATAAATTATATTATTCTTTTTCATTTTAGATGAAAACAGCTCTCCAAATAATGCTCCAAATCGTTGCTGAAAACACCACGATGAAGAGGATTAAGACAACTCAAATCGTAACATCGAATACAAATATAATTTGTATAATCAAAGGAATATCGACCTTAATTCCAAACGTTATGATCGACGTGGCTTCAATTATAAATGTCAATATTGATTTAGATACTTTGTTAATTCAAAATTCCGACGCAGATAAAGCAAATGTTTTTATTATTGAGGATCTGTTTGGAAACAAAAAGGTACGAGAGATTTTGCTAATTAACATTATTTATTCAAATGAAGATCGTAAATGTTTTTATGACATTTGAACGTGGTTTAAAAGCAGAAAGGTTACATCCCAAAGAGGCAGACAACGACACATTTGTCAGTAATTATATTGTTTGTTTTATTTAAGACTTCAATTGAATACCAAGATAATACATTTTACTGGATATCTAAAAAAATAGAATAGTTTGCAATCCTATATTTCAAAATTGATTGCACAATATACATGTACAATATGTACATTTAAATAAAAATAATACTTAAGAATATTTAACACTACTCATGGTACATGGTATGAAATGGTACAGATTTCTATAATATAGGCTAAGAAAACAGAATAAAGGGGTCAACCATTTTAGTTTTCATATTGTATCTACAAACGGTTCCCGCAAATAAAACGATGAACTATATTAATTCCATTTGAGTTTAACCTCAAAACAAGGTTTAATTGCACGATGTCTGGTCCAAAAACCTAGATTACAACACAGTCCTAGATAAAACAATATAGATTGACGTAAATAAGCATGCTCTTATAAACTTTTAAAATTGTGTAACTGCCTCGTTAATCCTACATAGTCAAACCTACGATAGCTGACCTAGACGTCTCGGAGTTGCTCTTTGAATCGGACAAGAAATGCCTTAAAATGACTTAATCTGCAGTTTGATTTACGGGAGAATTGAGTCCTTAAAATTTTCCGGATTCTCTGTAACAATTATATGCAATGGTTGTTTCAAATGTAGTATACCTCTAGATATGTGACCATAACTCAAATTACAAATCTAAACTTAACATGTATTTTTTTTTGTTTTTGCAGAAATTGAATTCTTTAAAGAACATATCGAATGATAGTTTTATAATAGCCTTGGAATGCGGAGTGCCAGCTTTACAATCTTTGAACGAGAATTTCACTATCATAAGTTCCATGTCTGATGGGAAGCAAATATTAATATTATTGAAGCGGAGGAATGCCAAGGATGTTACTTATGTGCCTGTAAATTGTGATAATAAATTGGATTGGGTGTCGCGCGTGTATGATGAACTTAATAAAACGAAGCGAGTGATGCTAGTATCTGAGCGGCAGCCATATTGTGGAGCTTTAGGTAGTGTATAGAAACTTGTATATTTATTAATAACTAACTATGTACCTCATACTTGTAATGTGTCGTCCTTTGTAATATTGTCTGTGTGGTGTAGGTATATGAAATTATAAATAAATAATAAATAAATAACTTTTACTCCCGTATTCCTGTTTTATCCCATGGGAGAATTAATAGAGATAAAAATACTACCCTATCCTCTCGGAGAACCTAACGGGTAACCGGGGCTCTGGCTCGACGTGCAGGAGAAGGAACGGGGTGGTTTTTAGTCAGTAAGAGTCTGACACTCCCTCCCGCCTCACCCAGACGGGAGAGCAGTAATTCGATGATTTCCCCCCCTTAAAAAAAATCCTCTACTATCCTATCACCTAAGTCAGCCCATATCCTGCCTGTATACCAAATTTTATCAAAATTCGTTCAGTAGCTTTAGCGTGATTGACGGTCAAACATCCAAACAAAGAAACTTTTACATTTATAGTATTAGGGCCGATTTTTCAATCATCAGTTATTTCTTAACTGTCCAATAAAATTGACATTTGATAGTTTTTAGGATGGAAGTACTGTCAAATATTCAATGTAATTACTCAGTTAGTTTATCTAGCGTTGGAGAAATAAAAAAAAAACAATAAACCGGCCCTTAGTGTGATTTCTTGTTTTTAATCTTTAAAGGAACTTGGTGTGGATACATTATTAAAATTATTTTTAAATTTAAACTGCTTTTTACAATCTCAAAATGAAAAGCATATCATATGAGGAACTTCCACTTTCAGGTTTTGTGAACAAGTTGAAAAGTGATGGTGAGGATAAAATAGGGTTGATAGCAGTCGATGATTGCCATGCACCAACCTTTGATCCCAACATCGGTATTTACAAGCATCAGTTGAATAAAAATCTAACTGTTAACATCTTTAGAAAGGTATGAAATGAACTTACAGACTGCGAATTATTCTAATATATTAGTATACAAACATAAAATCACATAATTATAGTTAGACATACTATTTTCTGATTCAAACAAAAACAAAGATATACTCACATAACATCCATGTTTGATCACCACCCCTGTATTATAATTAGTACAATTCTGACAACCATATTGACAGAGCCCGAATAAACACTACACTAACTACTTATACTTCGTTCTCAAAATATTCTTCATTTCCTTCCTTATAGAGAAACAGAAAGATGTTTTATAATTCCTCACGAGTTTCGAAATGCTTTTCCTTGACGCTTGTAGGCGACAAGCTAACGATCTGTCAATATGTCTTCTGCACAATCTTGGCCTTTTAACACTTCGCTACATGGGGCTGGAGTTGCGATGTTGATACAATTTACTTTCGTCAAGGAAATAAGTTTGAAAACTACGAGTGCTTATAATATGGCGTCGCTGTAACATTCTTACATAATACAAACTTTTTCTTATGGGATAAGGCGGTAATCGAGCAGGCGGATCACCTGATGGTAAGCAATCAGCGCCACCCATGAACACCCAAAACACCAGAGGTGTTATAAGTGCGTTATCGGCCTTTTGGGGATTAGAAATTTGAGGAATGTTGGGGATTCGGGTACTGGGGATAGTTGTAATAGGGTAATTTGGCCTCCAGTAACTTCACTCAACAACGAAACACAACACGCTAGTGTTGTTTTATATCGGTTTTCTGAGAGGCCATGGTATCACTCCGGTCGAGCCGGCCTATTCGTGCCGAAGCATGGCCCTCCCACACTGGTTTAGATGTAACATTTCTAAGTTGAACTTTCATTGATCTCATATAGTCGGGGTTATTTTTAATTTTCGAGAGGTGAGAGTAAAATGTAACACCCAATTTTTACCAGTGTTGTTATGAGTCTCATGGAAGACTGAGGGTTCTGTTGGTAATTAGATTTATTCTTGAAAACAAGGTTATTAGGGTTACTTCCAAAGACTTCGCATTCAGCACATTCTTTTATAACTATGTAGGAGTTTTTTGTAATGTCAATGTTATTTTAGTTTTTATACGATTTTCCGTTAGCATGTCAAATGCGAATTTTCCTTGTCTTAAATATTATTCTTCTTCAATATTATTTCATGTTTATAAAGGGACAATGGGGAGGCTACTATTACACTTCAGCCACAAAATCGACTAGACTTCGTGATGTAGCCCTGGTCAGTCCGAATGGAGATTTGGAAAACCTTATGTGGGTTGAGGCTCCTAATACAGTTACCAAACATAATTTGGTTAAGGTAAGTAGAAACAATCAATTCACTATCGTTCAACCTCTATCTATATATTATGCCTTTTTTTCTTCTCCTCTTATAATATCTTCTGATTCACTTCGTTGCGGGAACCAAGACCAAGACAATTCATGTCACAGGGACGCGCCGGACTTCAGTATTCTGGTGTTTTTATGGTTGTATCTACTGTAGATCCTGGCTTACAGGAGTTGCTGCGGTTTTGGGAAAATGTGGCGGACTTATCCCATTTAAAACATATTATGCCTAGTAATGATCAAAGGTTACTCTAAAAATCGCATTGAAAATGAAGAAACTATGATATTCTGATTTTTACCAGGTATCATATGCTGGTATATCGTCTAAAGATGTTCAGAAAGCCGTCAGCAACCTCGGTGATGATCTGATACCACTTGGCATGGACTTTAGCGGTACAAATGCAGAGTAAGTTCTGATTCTAACATTTTTTATAGCACAATTCCTATAACTCCTCCTAAAGAAAGTCCCCCCTTTATTACACGAATACACAACCACCATTTATAAATGTAATAAGTTCTGCAAAATTGGAAACGATCACATGGCAAACCGAAACCAATATTTTGATCAAGTGAACTTTGTAATTGTGTTTTCTTGCAATTGCATTTCGAATCACTGAACCCACAAAGCAGATGATACATTAATGAAATCAAGAAGTCGTGTAATATGGTAGATGCCTAATTTTTATTTTAATGTCCGTCTGGTAGATTATTTTAAATCATTAGACACGTATTTTTTTTTCTTACAGAAAAGAATACTTTTGACCATATATAGATTTGAAATGTCGCGTGACGTCACTTCTATGTAATAATACGCGTCTAATATTTTTTCATTACCAAACTCACGGACTAATTATATTTTTAATTTTCGTACCCCGTCATCATCTCAATTCTATGCAAAAGTGGTTTATACGTAATTCTTTATATCTTTCTTAGTGGTGACAGAGTGATGGGGCTGGTTCCTGGCAGTGCATTAAGTACCACGGTAGAAGCTGATTCAGATCTTCTTTGGCCAGTACCAGAATACTGGAGTCTTCAAGATGCTGCTACTGTACCCTTACCTTATGCAGTAGCTTATTATTGCTTGGTAAGAAATATCTTTATTTTTTCATATTTGATTGGCCATTGTTTTAATTTTACGATTTCTAATTTATGTCTTTGTATTTTCGACTAGCATTAAATATTAAAAATCATTATCATAAAGTCTAAAGACATTTCAAAAAATACGAATCGAAAAGAACTTTACAAGTGTCAAAGTTAAATGTGGACTTAGTGGGCGTTCTGCCCTTTACAGCCTTCAAAAGCAGGATCACTTTAAGATGGTTTACCATTTTATCATTGAAATATAATTTTAAATTATTATTAATTTCTCTTAAGAGACAACTTTCAACCGACCCAAACATCAAAACATATGATTTTATTACTTCAAATCTTCAAAAGAGTAGAAACAACATTTAAAAGGCATCATTTGGATTTTATAAAGAACCAAAATAACATGTTTTAAGACAAATAACCTCTGAAGAAAGTGAATCAAGGAAACTCAAATTTCGGGAGAATTCTGTTTGATAAAATATTCATTTAAATGGGTTCATTTCTCTCTTGAGATCCCGTGTGTGGAACTGTGGAGCTAAATATCAACTTGCAAGGATCGTAACTGAATGCGTAAACCCAAGATGGGAGATTGTCAGTATTATGGGTATTATCCTTAGTACAGGTCTTGCGTTTAATTTATTCCCTCAATATAGTCACCTGGACTTTATCTAGGATTGTGTTGTGGTTGTACAACTTTATCTGGCTTAGTGAATCGCATTCTATGTATTTGAATATTATGTTGTGTTATGGTTTTATACGAAGCCTGATTAGTTAATTCGTGTATTAGGAATGGAGGCTTTTTTGAGGGCAGGAAGTCATCAAATGACCTCTTCCGCCCGGGTGAAGTAATAGGGAGTGCCAGACTAGTACTGACTAAAAATCACCCCATTCCTACTCCTGCACTTCGAGCCGGAACCTCGGCAATCCGTTAAGTCCTCTGCGGCAAACTGCAGCTATCAAATAATGGACGTCCAATAATGTAACATTAGCTTCCTTATTGAACAAAACACGAGAGGTTCACAGTATTCATCTGGTGAGCAAAAGTACAGTAGGCTTCTATTGGTATAAGACTATTGACAAAAGCAAAGCATGATACACCTAAAAGTATTCATTGGTGATTTTTATTCAATGTCCACTAGTGTTTTAGAGGTTTCGCTTTCGAAATAAACACAGATAATTTATTAATCAGATAATAATTAAAATATTATTAGGGAGAAAATGCCTTAATAAATAAAGCGTTAATAAATAAATAAATAATTATTGTGTTGCAGTAGTCTATTCTTGAACTAAAAATGTCAAATAGAACAAGAATTAATAGAAACTTAATCAAAACTTTCGTGAGACATAATACTAATTAATTATTATGTTTTCGGCTTAGTAACGTAAATGTTTAACGAAGAACTCGACTACTTTCAAGCCATGCTAGAAGCTCATATTCATGAGCAGCGTTCCTCGTCAAACAGTAACTTAATCGTTAAGTTGTATTAAATATTATCTACTTCATGACAAGCGATAAGCCTTACATGTGTTACTTAAAAATGTTCTTTGTTTTAAAATACTATGGTTCTCTTTCGCAGGCTATAAAGAGTCGGCTCTTCAAAGGCCAGAGTGTATTCGTGACGGGCGGTGCGGGTGCTCTAGGACAAGCTGTGATAGCAGTATGCCTGTCTTTGGAATGTTTTGTATTCACTACAGTCAGTAGTATGAAGAAGAAGAGCATGTTACTTCAACTTTTTCCGGGACTTAATGGTAAAGAAGGTTTACTTCCTTCATTATACATAACATTACATCACGCCTTTTATCCTCGAAGGGATAGGCAGAGGTGCACATTATACCACTGTTCACTATTTATGTTATGAGTCCCATGTAATAGGGGGTGAGCCTATTACCATATACCGGGCATAGTTCCAGACTTCGTGCTACTACTGAGAATTTTTAAATTATCAAGTAATACTTTGCCCGACCCGGAAATCCAACCCGAGGCCCCTTGCCCGGCAGTCGCAATTGCGACCCCTCCGCCAATGAGGCAGTCATTAGTAATAATATTATCATGTTTGCAGCAAAACTATAATTTAAGCTCATGAGTTTCGTAAAGGTATAGATTTTATGAAACGTTGAAAATGAATAGTAATGTTTTCGTAATAAAAAGCAATATTATGTTATTTGAATTGTTAATAAACAAAAAAGTAATTTGTATACTTAATAGGCTGTGGTGATAATGCTTCAACATTAGATTATTAACTGAGTCATTCTTTTTCCAGAGAAAAATATCGGCTATTCTCGGGATGATTCATTCCTGAGTATGATTAAGATGTATGCACCTAATAAAGGGTGTGACATTGTCATCAACTGCGCCAGTGGGTATATACGAGAAGTAAATACATTTTTACGTAGCTAAAAAGTAATAATAAGGTTTTGATTTACATGGAAACGTAGGTTTATTATAGGACGACGTTAGAAGTAAACTTTCACATCATCGTTATATTTACAATAGTGCTATTGACATTGGCGTTAAAGATTATTTATTTAAAAAGAAAAACATTTTCCATGAATCAAATACTACTTTAGAAAACAAAGAGTAACAGCAGTCGTATCATAATTTGACTTATAATTTCTTATTGTTTTAGACTACAATGAAGTGTACTGGAAATATGGGATTCTTCCTAGACCTCAATGCTTACGACATGGTCGAGAACAAAGATATTGGAATGTCTTACTTAGAGAAGGATAGGTCATACAAAGCTGTGAATTTTTCTACCATATTTAGACCAGAAAATGCTGCCGAGAAAAAGGTGAGAGTTACTTCTATAAATTTATTTTGATGTTTTTTTTTTTTATTTTTGTTATTAGGAATATCATTTTTGCTTGTAACCAAGTTGTGGTGGCCCGAAGGTTTCAGCAACCGCTTGTCATACATAAGGATGCGGGTTCAAAACTTACCAAAGGCAAGTACCATTGTAACGTTTTCCGAGTTATATGTACTTTCTAAGATTGAAGAGATATCACTGACAAACGCTGCAGGAAAATATCTTCAGGAAATCTGGGCTTAATATTTCTAATAAGGTATACTGCACGGTTGGTGCGGTGGCTGGGCAACCGGCTGCCGGGCAACGTGTCTCGGATTCGATTCCCGCACGGAACAACACTTTGTGTCCACAAATTGTTGTTTCGGGTCTGGGTGTCATTGTGTATGTGAACTTGTATGTTAGTAAATGCACCCACGACATAGGAGATAATCCTAATGTGGGGCAACGATTTAAAAAAAAATACTTTTTCAACCGCCAACCCGCATTGAGCAAGCAAGACTGATGCTCAATCCTTTTCCGTATGAGAAGAGGCCTTTGGTCAGCAGTGGCCACTTATAGGCTGTTAATTTTGTAACCTAGATTCTAAAACTCGACTCTCAAACTCAATAACGTATATATTTCTTAGATTTATACTGAATAAGGCATTAATTTATAATTGTCCACTGAAAACAACGTCTACCTGAAGACCACATTATTTTGTAAGTATTCATTTTGCTTGTCACATAAAACTTGAAAAAATAAGCAAACCTTATCGACTCACACTAAACTATAGAAAATATTCCGTCTGCTCATGGCAACAAAGTTCAAATCAGATCTTTTAAGTCCCTACGAGAATAAAAATCTAACAACTGTAAATGTATAGAATTATAAACATGTTCTAAGCGGCTTTCAGCGCTTTTAGTTCTGACATCGCACTTGGATCTCAACATTAAATGCACTGAGGGACATTTTATATGATTTCATGTATGTATGTATATGTTGACGAGTGGTCCTTTTAACTGCATGCGTGCTGACATCCACATACATAACATCACGCCTTTTATCCCCGAAGGGGTAGGCAGAGGTGCACATAGAAGTAACACCCACTTTTCACTATTTATGTTATGAGTCCCATGTAATAGGGGGTGAGCCTATTGCCATATACCGGGCACATTTCCAGACTCCGTGCTACTACTGAGATTTTTAAAAAACCCAGTAATACTTTGCCCGACCCGGGAATCGAACCCGAGACCCCTTGCCCGGCAGTCGCACTTGCGACAACTCGGCCAACGAGGCAGTCACGAGTGCGTGCTGACTTTAAAGTATTAAAGTGAAATAGGATTTATTTATATTTACAGTTAACGTTTTATTCAGTGCATCTTAGAAATAATATTGAATTCGTTTAAAATGGATATATAAATGAAATGAATGTACGGAGACATATTTTTTATAAGCTTTCATTAGTTTGTTCCTTTAGTTTATAGCCAGAACCAGCTAAAGTAGCTGGGTTCTAATATCAATTATATAAAAATTAAAAGATACGATGTACAAGGTTTGGTATGGCTAGAGAACGCATTACTATACATAAAACTGGTTTTCAAATTACACGTTTTTAATATCTTTTTTTTTTATTGACGGTTGGAAACCTTCAAAAGGCGCCTACTACTACTTTTTGGGGAAAAAAGACTAGGAAGTGTGGGGGGTTTTTACCTCACTAAAACCTCCCCGGTGGCCACCATTCACACCTGAAGGAGGCACCGAGTCCTCTTAGTAGACCGACCACGGAGCCCCCACGGTGCAACGCCTGTTACGGCATGAACTATGGAGACCTATGTGTCTATCTAGAGCCTCTCTGTGCAGTGCACGGCGGCACGTAACCACTGTGCCGCCGTACGTTTTTAATACCTAGAGAAACTACAACTATAGGCTATACACTGTTGTGATTATAAATAAATAAATAAATAAATAATATTTGGAAATTAGGACACAAAGTAAATATAATCAAAACTGAAGTCTTTTAAATAAAATTCCATTACCTACAAAAGCTATTAATTTTGAAAATATGGACAAATTCGTAATTATAATTAAACCAATAATTATAATTTGTGTTTCCCACTAATCAAAAGGTTTCAATGCTAGAATGGAATTGGTTCACACAGAAGCTCATGCAGTTCAATAAACTAATAATAAAACTAAATTAATCTAACATAGCACATTCAAATTATTTCAGTAACAAACTAAATGCCCATATGTTGTGATGACAGAATTTTTTTTTTTCTTATATAATATGGTAATCGAGCAGACGGATCACCTGATGGTAGGCAATCGGCTTCGTCCAAGGACACATGGAACACCAGAGTTACAACTGCGTTACCTGGCTTTTGGGAATTAGTAATTTGAGGATTGGGGCGGATAGGGAAGAGGGAGGGGGCGTGAATTGGTCCGTCTTTCCCGCACGAAGCTACTCTTTGTGTGATCCAAAAATTGTTGTTTCGCGTCTGAGTGTCATGTGTACGTGAAATTGTATGTTTGTAAACGCATCCACGGCACAGGAGCAAGCGCTACCTCGGACAATGATGTGCGAGTCAGCGTTTAAAAACGAATAAGTCCAGTAACCCCTTTATTAATTACAGATACTACAACGCATGTTAGCTGAAGGTATAGCAAACGGCACAGTGCGACCAATAAGTCGCATAGAATATACACCTACACAAATCTCAAGAGCATTTAGACTTGTATCGTCCAGTAAGCATATAGGCAAAGTTTTAATCAAAATGAGCAGTCCAGAAGTTGTGAAAGGCTTTGATGTTGTACCGAGGTGAGCTTTAAATGATTTTTAGATTATTTAGGTAGTTCGTGGAGTGTTTATCTAGATATAATTATGATTTACATTACAGCACAGTAGGACCTATTTATAAACATAATGTAAATAACCAAGCATCTAACTAATAGAATTTCGAATCTGTATTTTTTTTTTTTTGAGGGCCGAAAATCGGCTTATGGCTTCTCCCGCCCGTGTGAAGCGAGAGAGAGTGTCAGACTCTTACTGACTAAAACTACGCTGTTCCTACTCCTCTACTTGGAGCCGGACCTCCGGCAACCTATTATGTCCTCCGTGGTGGTTTGGCATATCTTTGAGGCGCGCGCGGAACGGCGTGCCATACGCCCCGAGCGTACGGCGCTGGTTCTGGTGTCACCCGTGCTCGCCGTCCGTAGGCTCGTGCTGACAGAGGCCGGAGATCGTCTCGCGTACCCGGTGATTTTTGTAAATTTATTAACAACCCCTGTGCAGCTTAGTAAGATCGTACCTGATGTTTTATATTAAGCTCAAATAATAATTGGTCAATAACATTACTGACATCATAGCTGGTAAAGTATGATTTACATTACGACAGTAACATATTTGCCGATAAAACGCAACAATAAGTTAATTTTTTTTATGAATCTTGAGAAACAATACTTAACAATAGTCGTATTTTTATATCTCATCAAACCAGTCAACAATATTAGAAGTCTTATCAATTTATGTATCATTTGTTTCTTTAACACTACATAAAGAAAATCGAATACATTTGGAGCAATTAATGTAATTACTTTGCACAGTTCAATATTTCATCGACTTTCATTTGCACTTTATTTGGATGTCTGAATAAATATTTGTTTGTATGCGTCAATACGAATTTTGTATTGTAGCTCCGTCTTTAATATTGCGAGTCAATATTTCTTTTAGATTATTAATACTCTTTTATTCATTGGTATGTTTAAAAAGAATATTTCTATTATTTTATTTTATTTGTTAGTTCAATTTTAATACTGTTTTGATTGATGGGTATAGTTTGTTTTTTTAATCGATGTTTATTTATTGATAGAAAGGTCTTTAATGTGCTATTTCTTTTTGTTCAATCGAAATTTATTTATTTTATGAATAAGCACATTTTTATGAATATGAATACAAAATATTTGAATAGTTTTAGGCATTAGTTTTCTTTTTTTACTGTTAGCTGTTTTACATTCACTTTTGTGACATAATTTTTTAACAAAACCATACGTATGAAATCTTCAAAATAATTCACATCTATTCATATTCCATTTTTTAGTATGAACTACAATTCAAACGGTGTCTACATAGTAGTTTGCGATGACAATGGCATTGGTATCGAGCTAGCGGACAGGCTGGTCAAGAGAGGAGCCAGGAAGATTGTCCTACACACAAGAACTAAAGTCAGAGGATACTGGCATTCTAAATTCACGTGAGTATTGAATGTTTCATTTATTAAAATCAATCTTATAGTAAGAAAGCTTTTACCAGAATCTGAAAAAAACACATTTTATAAAATTAAGAAAATCACTTAAAAAATAGAAATAAAACTGTACTTATTTTTTCTGTTTTTTTTTTGCAATTATAAGCATAAATAGATAAGTCTGTATAGACTACTAGACCGACAAATATAGGCAAGCTAAAAATGACAGCCTCGTTTGCCAAGTGGTTGCAAGTGCGACTGCCGGGCAAGGGGTCTTGAGTTCCACTCCCGGCAATTTGCCCGACAAATATGACGGTTTTTTAAAAAAAAACAATTCAATAGTAGCACGGTGTCTGGAAATGTATATGGCATATGATAATGGGCTCACCTCCTGTTACTTGGGACTTATAACATAAATAGTGAAAAGTAAATACAATGGCATTAAGTGCCGTAATGTGAACTTCTTCCTACCCCTTCGGAGATAATATGTAGTAATATATAATAATATGTGAATTTCCACAGATCTTGGGAGAAACAAAAAGTAACAATAAAAATTTCTACAGAAAATCTGGAGTCACAGCAAGACTGCACTAAAATGTTGAAAGAAGCTTCTAGGATCGGTTTTATTAGAGGAATTTTCATAGTTCCAGATATTGAGGACAAGAACGATGAGAAGCCACTAGATTTTGTCCGAGCGTTCAATAAGACCACCTTTAGTGTTATAAATCTAGACTTGACGTCTAAAAACTATTGTAATGAGTTAAGGTAAAATTTAAAGCCTTATTCTTTAGGATAAATTATTACTTATACCGCGGCCATTTCAGCGAAAAGACGTTAGAGAAAACTGTTCAAGAAAATCGTATCAATTCATAATGAAATGAAAGTGAAATTGTAAAAGTCTAATAAATTTTGTTCAATTTTGTATTTGTATTGAAATTTTGTGAAGGCAAGTTTTAATAGAGATAATATCGGAATTTCTCATAAGTAACTAAAATACTTTTTGGACTGTCTCTATTGTGAAGTGATAGATAAGCGCAAGATTCTTATATTTTTTACAAAGTATAATAAATATGTTTGAGATGTTCATCGTAAGTTAAGGGCCGATTTTTACAACGCCAGATAAATTTTAACTGAGGAATAAATTTGAATATTTGACAATTTTCTACTTGCCAACTAGTCAAATTCAATACTTTAATGGAACTATAAAATTTTGTATGAGATTGTGTAATGTGATGTCACGTTTTTTTTTTTGCGTCAAACGACATACTTAATTCTTAAACAATTGCTGGATAATACTAAAATTAAGTTGGTCATAAAAACAATTAATGAAAGTGTGATTATTTTTTAATATTTTATTGTATTGAACAGTGAAAATAATTTAGGAAAGTACCCAATTGTTCCATAATAGTTAAATATTAACTGATGATTGAAAATTCGGCCCTAACTTAGACTTCACAATACGTGATGTGTTTACAAGTACATTTTGTGATTTTTTAAATTTTTGGTTTGTTTTTTGTCTAGAAAATTATTTTTTGACCTTTTCCCTTAAATACATTGCAAATTGTATCTAATAACCTTACAATAGAGTTCTTTGCCATCACTATAAACCTTATAGTATCTATTTTTTTATTTTCAGCCATTTCGTAGTCCTGTTCCCACCTTCTTATGGTACTAGCAATGAGTATTCTTACTCATTAATAGAGAGAATATGTCAAATGAGAAGTGAAAATGGACTGCCAGCCCTAATTGTACGAATGGATACTTTGACAGTGGTAAGCAATATTTATAATAAAAAAAATTAACAACAATAAATCAAATTGTGTTCTATTTAATGAAGTCAAAGTGCAAAATGCAATGTCAGTGGTTATTAATAATAAGCTCTTTTATTTGTTACTTTAGGAGTTCATAAGTCGAGATGAAATGAATTTCTTTTATTGTTTTAGAAATGCCCTTGTCCTGTTTAGCTGCTAATATTGAAATTGTATAGTCATTGAAAAGAAAACAATAGAGTTGATAGTTAATAACTTTATTATTTGTTTGAGTTCAGTTATAATATTGTATTCCAAAAATATTAGTGGGAGGGCGCTTCATTCAACAGTTGATATATTTGAGATCATAGGTCAAACCTTTTTAATATAAGACTTATATGTTAACATCCATCTCAGATTGAGAGATCTTAAAGTTAGTATTTTTCGTAGTATTAATAATAATGTATTGTCAAACATAATTATAGATTTTCAATGCAACGAATAACAAAAAGTTTTAATGATATACATTCCTATGCATAGCACTAAATAACGATAATAGTATATAATAATAATAGTTTTTTACTTGAAAGGATTTCTGTTCAAGTTAAAAACAGTCGTTATTTTTTTTACTGTTATTAATCATCTATATTTTTATAGGGAGATTCCAAGACAATTTTGGAGCCACAAAAATTAACGGCATTCTTCAATGGAATGGAAAACAGTTTGAAATTAAAATACAACAATGTCCTTACCTTAGGTTTGAATGAAGAAAATGTCGCGGACTATGAGATGAAACTAGCGAAAATATTTGGTGAGTTATTTAATATTTATTTTCGCGTACATTGTTTGGCAAATTATAAAGTTTTAAAATTTAATACACATTGCATTCATACTGTTGGAATTGCAGTAGTTGCTTTAATATTTATGTGGGCAAAGTTTTTTAAAAGCAAAAGAAATTTCTTTGCTATAATATACCACAAACAAATAGAAATTGATGACCTTAAAAGTCATCGCACACCTTACGAGCACGGCTCCGGCACGGCTTCAAGCAATGTCATTGTCATATAAATAAGAACTTTAAATCGTACGTCGTACGACATATATTTCTTAACATCAAATTAAAAAGGCTGTACGGCCCGCTTATAACCTTTTTATATTGTATCCAAAATAAAAAACGCTGTACTGGAGCCATGTTTGGACCTTGTCAGAGCTTTGCTTCTTAAGTGTGTGACCATTGAAGTTTTTGTTGCAAGTCAGAATAACCCAATATTTAGAGCGTCAAATCTTTATAATATTATTTAGATTTCAAAACTAATAGTGAAATGAAAGTCTATCCTAAACCTATCTATTACCAACAGACATAATTTCCCAAGTTTCGGAAACCCTACAGACACCAAATATGCTTTGAATCAATTTCGGATTAATAAATCAAAATCGATAAACAGGCCATTCAATGTTGCTTGCGTTGCCATGGCAACACGCTCCCAATTCTAAAGTGCCATAACATTAGGAGCTAATGAGTTTGCCGTACGCGTTTTCAAACGGAATTAATGCATGGTTTTGGAAAGTGGGGTGCAATGAGCACTAATACTGGCCAGTAGGAACATTGAACACGTATTTAGCGAGTAACTGACAAAGTTGAACGGTATGCGCTGGTGGTATTTTGGGACACAATGTAAAATAGTATTTAATATATTTTGTGGAGAGGGAATTTGGTACTGATAATTCAGTACCTTTAATAATTATGTACAACTTAATAGTTGTACATAATTATTAAATCATGGAATTTAATCACTAATCCGATTATTATAAGGCCCATAGGCCTCTCCACTAAAATCGATCTTCAGCCCTTTGCACCGAGCCAGATATTTGCGGATATCATCGATATGACCGATAATCTTGTTAGGGTTCCATCCAATCCAGAAAAAAATCCAGTTAAACTCTTTTTGGTGACTGCAGAAGCAAAGCATTATGATCTTTTATTTGCGGACATAAAATTAAAAATAGATAGAACACACAGTAAAAATTACAATAATGCTGTAAATTAATTCTGATAATACAATTACAGGTGTACCAAAAATCGAAGCTCTTCCAGAGCATTTTACGGTTGGTGATCTGCTCCTTACTAAAGATAACTTAGTAGAATTGCAGACTCTAATCAGAAATATACATAAGGTTGATTATCCTGTGGAGAAGATTGTCAACATGACTTTTGGAAGGTAAGTTCAAAGTAGTAGGTTTAAATACACGTATTTTTATTTTAATAGACTAATTATACCTATTTAAAGATATCCTTTTTGGTCAAACAGTTTGAAGCATTGTTCATGATACGGGTTTTTTTCAGCCTCAAGAATATAAAGAACCAAAATACAGCAGAACCAAAGAACTATGAAGGTTTAGGAGCGTTTTATACTTGTGTTGATAATGAAGAAGAGCATTTGTCGACATCACACCCCATAGTGCCTATGGTAACACTTCTGAACAATGGAACTGAGGTAAAATTTAGAAGAACTAATTGGGTATTATATTTCTCAAGGCAAACTATGCTCAAGGCATGGATATAATCCATATACATCAACAGAATCGCCCTTCAAGTAATGTAGCGGAGTATAATATAGAGTTCAATGCAAATAAATAGAACCTATTTTAAGCAAATTGTTACTTAAAATTTTAATTCCATCACAAGGTCGTTGAAAAAAAGGCGGACACCATCTTTTAATATAACCGTGGTACCTGGCTACTATAGACTTACACGCAGAACATTCACACATTGATACGATGGACATCTGTTTTTATTAAGTCTGGTAATATGGTACCGTGGTAAAACAAGCACACTTAGATAACCCAATGACATTTTGGTGCTTCAATCATTTGTAAGTGATATTATGTCGGCCTTATTTTTCAGCGTCTTCGTTCTATCAGTAGTAAAATGACCGGAGATAACGTACGAACAAAATTATGAATTCAACTAACAAAATCGTGAATTTTCTTCCAAAATCAAGATTAGAAGACCTAGAGGGGTCTTCATAAATAATTACAATAACTTAGATCAAGAAATTAGATAGAGAATTTTCAAAAATGAAAATTAAAAATTAAATTGGATTAGAGAAGTTATGTCGGATGAAATTAAAAGAGATTTAGAAAATAATTTTCTTTTTTAGACTGACCTGGACCCTCAAGAAACTTACTTGACCCTTATACCAGGATTTGAAGGTCGGTATCAGATCTTTAGTGGGTTGGCAGAAAGACTCAAAGTACAGGCGGTGGCTGTCCAATTAACTGCTGATATAGAAGGAAACTGTATTGAAGAAATGGCTGCTACTGTTCGTAAGGTAAAACCTTTACTTCATGTAAAATGGTTACTTAATCACCTGCTACTGTCAACTCTGCACTACTAAAAGGTTGACTGGGAGACAATGCCCCAGGCGTGAAATCCGCCTGTGCACACTTGATGTATTAAGTTGAAATAAAATAAAATAATCGTCATCTTTGTGAATCAAGCCAAGTTCTAAAACAGTAATAGTTGTGAAATTATTTATTTAAAGTGACCTATCCACTTAAACTAGAAGTGGCAACAATGAAAAATAATATTATTATATTTGTATCAAAGTTCGAACAAACAAACAAACACTAATAATTTAATGGCCTATAAGATTATGTATACCTATATCACAAAATATTGACAAAAACGATCAAAATACATTAGAATATATATAAAAATCGTAAACCAAATAAAACCTCGATCTCTTTGATGAACCTTAATCCATATAAGTTACATATTTTAAGAAAAAGATCACCATTTATTTCGCTCATTTTGGCGCGCGACGCAAACCTAATTTCACTAATATTTTATTTTTAAAATACCTCCGAGAGCTTTGCTATTATTATAATGGTAGGCTATTCGTTATATCAAATTTCTTTCAGAAATGAAACGTTAAAAGAATACATTGTTTCAGTTTATGAAGACAAAATTCGAGAGCAAATCCAAATTTTATCTTCTGGGGTATTCGTTTGGTGTAAATATCGCTTTGGAAGTGGCCGCCATATTAGAGAAAGAAGGTAAATTATTGATATTTTACAATAGGGAAAATTCTTAGATTTAGTTTAGACATTTGTTCGTTTACACGTTAAATATGTTGCAATTGTTTTATACAGTCATATTTAATGAAATATCAGAATATTTCAGCAATCATGGATTTGTATTTTCCATGTGCATTCTTACCTAATTTATCACTTACTATACGATATGAACTTAATAATTTCTTATCTTTAATTTAGCTATCTAGGTCCTTATTAATATTCTAATTTGTTATTCAACAACAAATAATTACATATTTATTGACTGTCTACGGTTTCTAGAATAGTATTAATTTTTTGATTCCAAGAAAAAATTTAAAGAACAAATTTATTACTAAGATATCTTTGTCAATAATTTCGCCTTCAGTCCAATGACAACTTAAACTTAATAATTTAATTAACTCTGTCTGCAATACTACAAATAATACATTTCAATATCTCAAAGTGTAAAGTTAGTTTCGATTCACTGATTACTTTGTATTCGAGTAATATAGACGTGTATTTCTAAAGCAATTCTAATGCATATTAATGCAATGTTGGTTCGTGATTCGAAAACTCTTTGATTACCATCTGCTCGACTTGTTTACCATAAGTGTACTCAGTTTCACGCTCCAACGTTGTAACAGTATTATGAATTCCATTCATAAATTATTCTCCAAAGCGTTACCCTACAAACGGTTGGTTTCCATTCAAATCCCATGTTTACACTGCTTGAAAATTACAGGACATACTGGAGTCGTATACTGTTTGGACAGCAGCCCAGATGCATTAAGAATACAGCTTAATTCATATTTAGGAGAGATCTCGGATACTGAGCTACAAAACGCGATTTTAGAACACATATCGCAACTCATTGCTGGAAAGGTGCCCGAAGAGTTGGCCCAATATTTGGAGCAAATAAATGATTGGCCAACGAAAGTGGATGCTTGTTTGTACACGTTGCGAGGAATAGGAAACTACTCGCAGCAATATAAAGGGTCGTTATTAGACTCTGCGTACCGAAATATTTTGTTAGCCAAAAATTATGAACCGAAGTTAAAATTAAATTCTGAAATTGTTCTGATAAAAGGAAAACCTGAATTGCAATCACAGAGTCTGTCGGCTGATTATAATTTATCAAAATATACTAAAAATCCAGTCAAAGTGTACCATATAGAATCTGATCATCCATCAGCACCATACGACAGTAGGGTAACAAATATTGTTAATAAATTGCTCGATGAGAATTTACTTAAAGAATTTAAAAATAAGAATCTTTGTGATAAGTATATCATTCAGCCTAAATAAGTTAGTTTAGTTTTAAGATACGGCCATTAAAAATTTCAAAAAAGACCTGTGTTTTATTGCCTGCCCTTTTAGTTTTAAATATTATCGATGTTTAGTAGATATTTTCAGTTTCTTCAATGGATGCCTTATGGGAGGTTTCTTTCAGAATAGAGTTATCTTTCAGAAAATATCTTTTTAGATCGCAGTTGTTATTATGTACCTTTATACGCTTAAATGACATTTGCTACACACATTTTTGTCTCTGAAGACTTAAAATAAAGTCTAACGTTTCGTATGCCCTAATCACATAAACAAGCCTTGTTTTAAGTATTTCATTTGAAAGTTAACAACAAACGCTGAATTTGGAGTCGCCAATATTTACTCTGTGTAGCGGTTATTTATTCTCATCAATTGACAAACACGGGAGTGAACTTGGAGCTTGAACGTTGACTGTGGCGGCGGAAAGTTTAGAATTACCTTTGCTGACTATAAACTTATTCATTTCGATATTACTAAACATGAAACTTCTTCTTACTTCTTGTAGAAATAGGAAACAGAAAAACATATTACAGAAGATTAATTTTTAGCCGTAGAACCATTATTAATAATCTACATTTTATTCAACTGTTAATTCTAAAATCGTTGTTCTTGGCCATCAACTAGAGATCTGCAAGTTCTGGTATCACAACGTATTTACAACATAGTTTAGAATTCAAACTTTCGATCAACACCTAAACCTTACTATACGACCATACTAAAAACTATCGGTACCATACATAAAACTTATTCGTGTTTGCAACACTTCAACCCCTGTGGTTCCAGTTACTGTTACTAGATGGCGTTGTAACTTTATTTGCCATAAAATGTTGACACCCAATACAGGACGTTCAAGGCTGATGTCATGCCAAAATACGTCGTTACACTTTATAGCTCGTTTCAATAGTAGTCGTGAATACTAAAAATCTGGCAAGTGTAACACGCATTTTATGTGTTATGACATTGATAAATATTTCCTGTTGAAGTACATACTTTTATTACTTTTGATGAGTGCCTTTGATTAGGTTAGAGACCACGTGCAGTTTTTATCGTATGTATGTACTTGGATAACCACTAACTGTAGTGGTTATCCAAGTTATTAGTCAAAATGGCATTTTGAGTTTATCACGCCTGCACTTATGATGTGCTGAGCTGATATTGATATTTAGGCTGTGAATGGCTCTAGAGTTGACATATTTTTTTTATAAAAAATCTCAAACTGATATAGACGGCCCAGAAGGAGATGGTGGTATGAACTTGACGTCTATGAAAAGGATTGGTCTCAGAAAGACTGATTTGACTGCACGGTTGGCGCGGTAGCTGGGCAACTGGCTGCCGCGCAACGTGTCGCGGGTTCGATTCCCGCACGGAACAACTCTTTGTGTGATCCACAGATTATTGTTCCGGGTCTGGGTGTCATGTGTATGTGATATTGTATGTTTGTAAACGCACCCACGACACAGGAGAAAATCCTAGTGTGGGGAAAGGTTTTTTTTAAGAAAAAAAAAGCTATAAGAAGAGACAAATGGAACTACCCTCCTTCCATCCGTCTTTTTTTGAGGCCTTTGGTCCGCAGTAAGACTAATAATAATAAAATAATAAAGTAGGTAAGACTTGACCAAACAGCTAGTAGCGAGCGCGTCAGCACCAATTCTCAATAACCTAAGTTTCTACATTTAGGCATCTGATTGTTTTCACTTTTGTAAAGAGAAACAACTTGAGAGCGCTCGGATCAAAACTTTCTTTATTTGCAATTAATTTCCACTCTTTCAGTTCGCGAAGAAGAGGTTTGAGCTGAAATCAAAGTTCTCCGGTTTGGCCACGTTGCTCTCAACTTGGTCTATTTGTTTTAAAGCAAGTAGCGTTATGTCGCAAAATTATATTTGTAAAGTTTACTCTGAAGCAATTTGTCATTATATTGAAATTCATTTCGGGAGTATTTATTTGTATGTCAAAGTTTTAGATGTCGCGTGTATACGAAGTTGTATTGTATAATATTTTCCTTTAATATTGCCTATTGGAAATTCCTCTAAGTAACAATTACAACAGTATAAGAGCAAGCAAAAGCTTGCTCTTATAAAAATACCAGTTACCCTACAAGCAACATCTATCTACTTCAAATTTCACTCTCCAAACAGAACATAAGTGTATTAATCTCAATAATTTTCTGGTCACGTTGCCTCTTGGACATCGTCCCAGTGTTGGTACAGAGAACGCTTACGTTGGTAATTTGTCATAACCACAGCTGCTAAACAATGTACTGAGGTCCATGTATCGACTTCTAAATGGACGCTCAAATGTTAGTGAAAATTTAGCTTTTACAAGCCACATGCGGTTGGAAAGTAATTGCTTTGATAAAACGCTTGGCCTTTGTCGTTATTCTATTTTTGGTCTTGTATCTGATGATTACATACTAACGTAACTATGAAAAATTTATTAGTTTTTTTTATCGCTTTATCTTTAAAGAAAAAAGAAGAATTTATCGTGTCAGTGCAGTTACCGGAAGCAGTTACTTTTCTCCCTAATCTCAACAACACCATTATTTTTTTGAGGTGCTAAAATCATCAATGTCTTCTCTCACCCGGGTGAGGCAAGAGGATGTGTTAGACTCTTACTGACTGATAACCACCCCGATCCTACTCCTGCACTTCGAGCCGGAGCCCCGGCAACCCGACGTAACCGATACGACGTAATATCAACAATTTATCCCTGAATCCCCAATAATCCTTATATTGCTAACCCCCAAAAAGCCGAAAACAGACTTATAACGTCTCTCGTGCTTCATGGCTGTTCCCTACAACCAGGTGATTCGGCTGCTCATTTAAAAACTTTATTTATGAGATAGCCTATTGGTGTGTCTCATAAAAAAGGTTTTTTTAAACGAGTCCGATGTGCTCACAGTCATATATAAAGTAACGAATAAAAAACTCAATAATAAAGAATTCCTAACAGGTCCACTTTAGACTTTCCAAATAAAACTAAACTTTCTTATAATCAATTTGAAGTTATTTTAAGACTTCAATATTAAACGCTATAACGAAAATATCAACTTATAAATGTCAACTAAGTCTTATCATAGTAATAAATGTCAAATTAACATCAGAACTTCATGCCCAAAAGAAAAGACCCAATGACATTTACTTTTCGAATCGACAAACTTTAGAAGTTATTACAAATTATAGGATTAGTCGCAAAAATAGAGGTAGGTTGTTGACCTTGAGAGAACAACCTTCTTTTTGCTATATCCTTCAAGTCGGAGGTCTACTCCGATTCGACGAAAAACGAAGTTTCGGACGAAACTTCAAAGATTACCTACCACAATGACATATAAACGAACGAAAAAGGAATGAAACAAGCCAGAAATTAGTATGAGATGTACTGTTTGACGTCGATATTTTCGGAACCCTACTCTGGTTGTACAATCCGCACGAACGAAAATTCGAGTTTGACAGATTATTCTTCGGACGTTTAATGTCATTTCGACGAAACCAAAATAGTTATCGTTTGATTTTCGTTTGGGTTAAATTTTATTAAAAAATCAATGAAAGTAATTGCAAGTCTTCGTTTTATCACGGTTTCTTCGTGTGGGCAACACGTAGGTCACCAAAGAAACCATTTAAATGACGATATAAAATCAATGTACAGTCAGCTCAAATAGTTTGTTAACACGTACCTATATAATTTTACATGTCTATGAGAGTTAGTAACATTTAGGGTAATTAAATACTTATTTGAATACCTTATGAATTGTACATAAATGTTTCATGTGTAATGTTTTATTATAAAACGAATAATACCGCTAGAAAAATAAACTTAAGTATTGCTAGTACATATTTTCGCTATTCTTTCACATAGATAAGATAAATTCTTTCAAAAATATATTGTTAACCATCATAACATGAAATAATTTAGTGTCTTCAAATTCCCATGTAGACATTTAAAAATTTTAACTGACTGTACTAATTTAATACGAATAAATTTGGTTGTCATTATTTTTATAAATAAATGTCAATAAATGACAAAGCCAACATTCTTAAACTTTTTAACTTGGTCGTATAATAAATCTTTAAAAGGAGGTTTTTATCCTGTTTAGGATATTCCATCTTAAACATTAATATTAAAAGCTTATTCATGATTTTCTTAATGATTATGTGTGCTAAACTATGGCATTATCATTTTAGTTATATAATTACTTAAAATAAAATTTTATTTTTAATTTCGAATCTAAACCTTTTTATTGCCTATTTATTTATCTTCACTTCATTCGTTCATTGTAGAATTCATTCGTTCACGAAAGTTGTCTATGGTTCCGAAAACGTTGTTTGCGGCCGCAAATCAAACGAAACTTCGCATTCGAGAACCGGAGTAGACCTCTGATGTGGTGTACTCGTACCATAAATAGTGCCGTGACGTATGTCAAACACCGTAATAAATAATCGAAATGGATTACTTTTATTTACTGATTTACACAATATTTACTTGTATTATGATCGGTCCATTATAATTCTATTAAAGAAGTGCAAATAAACAACATTTTCGAATGAAATCAGCAGTTTTTGAGTCAAATTCTATAAACTTAAAATATAAATATTTCGCTTAACTTAAAAAAATATATGTAACAATTTTAGCTACAATACAATACTTTGGACATTTTTTTGGAAAATTCTTATATTCGTGAACACGCCGTCTATGAGACACCCACGTCACTAGTTAAAGGATATACTACGAAACGAAATCCAGTAGAAATCACTTAAATAAACCACCTGGTAGTACCTAAGCGATGATGTGGCCAATGCCCACCCCTTATAACATGGGATTCATAACATTACTGATTGAAAATGAAACAACTGAAAAACGTGTACACCTTTGCTTAAAGATTCTATTACATTACGCTAATTGCAAGCACGAAACCATGCTTTAATTTAGCACTGATCACTTAATAGCATATGTATCGGAATGATGTTTAAAATTAGCATGCTCATTTC